GCTGTCTGTTTCCCTTAGCCCCTCAGGGCCTGGCTCAGAAGCCGGGGAGCTCTGAGGCACCTTCCCAGTCATGGGGACCTGCAGCCTTCCACAGCTGGGCTCCTGGGACCCCAGATCCAGGTGGTTACAAACCCCAGTCTTGACTCCACTCCCAGTTCCCAGCAGCCTGCTAGAGGAAGCCTTATGAGCAGCTGGAAATAGTAGGGCCATACACAGCAGCTCCAGGGGGACATGGACCAAGACTTCCTGTGTTTATGTGTGTAGGTGAAATGTCACAGTGTAAATGGATGTGTGTGTATGAGCATGCGTGTCTGGGTGCCGTTAGGCAAATACCATGTCTGACATTTGCATGGTCTACCCTTATGACTCTGCTAAGGTATGAAGGCTTGTGTCCGTCCTACATGTGCGAGCCTCTTTGTGGGTATCCACCTGAAATCTGTTGAACCTCAGGCACTTGTGCAAAGGTTGGTTGCTCTCTGAGGAAAGGGTAGCTGGGGTACCTGGGTGAGCCAGTGTCTGTGTCACCTGGCAAGGATGTTGCTGGGTTCCCACAATGCTGGGTGTGTTTGTGTGCACACATTCACATGTATGAGGATGTCTCCAGGCTGTATATAGGAGGGCGTGCTTCTCAGCCTGGAGTCTCCTGCTGGTATGTGTTGTGTCTGGTAGCGTGTGGCATGAAAGGTCTGTCTACACGGGTCTCTATACTGTTTCCCATGTGGATTCCTAGTGACTGTGCCTGGAGGCTGGCCTCTGGCAGCATACAGCTAGCATAAACGAGTCATCAGATGTACACATCAGCCAGGCATGAATGGCTGCAGGTCTCTGAGCTCGAGCTCTGCATAAGCGTGTATGTGTTTATGTGTGTCCCGCCCCTCACAAAGCACACTGAGTTCTGTGGTCTTCCCGGCCACAGCAGCTGCCACTCACACTTTCCACCTCATTCTCTCCCTGCTGGAGCTGCTCTCCCAGCCAGAAGCAGCGACTCAGGACAGGGACCAGGGGACTCTTCTGACCTGGTGACAGACTGGCTCCCTCCTCTGCCTCCTAGGAGTTTTGCAGAACTGCCTGAGGCCTACCACTCAGAAGACTCTGGATGACATCAGAGGGAGGGAGGAGAGAGGAAAGGACAACAGCTGAGTCAGCGCATTTACTGAGCAATGGACATACGTGCATCCTCACAATCAAGAGGTCCATACACACCAAACCCCCATTTTACAGAAGTGACCCCCTTGAGACACACCCCCACCTGCAGGCTTGGAAATCAGTCTTTGCGGGTTTTGTTTTTGAGACACAGTCTTAGCCTAAACTGGTCTTGAACTGAGAATGGCCTTCAACTTCCGGCCCTTGTGCCTCTGCCTCCCGAATGCCAGGGTTACAAGCATGTGCCAGCATGCCTGGTTTATGTGGGTCCAGGGATGGAACCCAGGGCTTTGTGCGTGCGAGGCAATTACTTCCCCGATTGGGTTTACTCACCATTTGCTCACTACAAATCTTAGCATGGCACCTGGCTCACAGGATTCATCTCACCAACCAACCTCCACCCATGGCCAGACATGTCAATAGTAACCAAAAACTCAAATGTGCCAACCACATGGCCGAAAGACCAGGACCAAGACAGAACAGCAGGGCTGGAATGCTGACTGTAAGACAGAGTCCTGGAGCCTCCACTTGCTCATCTGTATAATGGCAATCGCCAGTCAGTGAGGGGTTTTTCTCTGGGCCCTTGTGAGTGGCATCTATCACCCACAGCTGGAACCCAAGTAAGGTGGCTTGGCTCCCCACTACCTACCTGTGCAGCGGGAAATGTGATCATGCTTTCCTGTCCCCCCAGGAGCAGCACCCAATGTGTTAACACTCAAGGGCCAAGGAAACCCACCCTCCTGGCTCCTCCCACTTCCTCCAAGGATGAACACACAGACATCCTGTCCGCTCATGGGCTCAGAATCCTAACAATTCCACACGAGACAAGAGGACTTCACTCACGAGATGTTTTCCTGGCTGTTCACATCTCCCTGATTGCTGAAAACAATAGTTGGAGACTGTCCAGGCACACCCCACCATCTCCACTAGACAGATGAAAACACACAAGCAGCTCAGAGAGTTGCCTATGACCACACAGTAGATGATAGAATCAGGTCTCAGAGCCAGCTCTTTGAGATACCACATGGCACACGGGTAACAGTTCGTGGTCTCAGGGACCTTAGGCCACTGTGGCTTTGAAAGTCAAACACAGTTAACCTGGCTGAAGTCGTATTTCTGGTGAAAACCCCAGCAGATAACCCTCAGGCACCTGAGGTCCCTTCTGCAGCTCTGCTGCAGCCACCACGCCTATCTCCCCAGCTGCTCCCCACAAACCCAATGCTTGTATCCAGGCCTCAACACCAAGCTCACTACCTTCCCCAGAGAAGCACTTTCTGTCTCATCACTGGCAGAGGCTGTAAGCCCCTCACTTGGGTCCCAGAGCATGGCTTTGAGAGATGGGGTCCTTCCTGGTTGGCAGGGGTGGGACCCCGACATCCCTAGCACACAAACTGGAAGGCGAACCTGGACTGTGCCAGCTGGAGCCCAGGGCACCCCCTGCAGCTCACATGGTCAGTCTGCAGCGGATGCACTGGGGATTTGGAGTCATTCTCCTTCTTACCAGTTTCTGCACCACAGATGTAAAGCATCCCAGAGAGGCAGGAAACACACAGGAGACTGATGCTCTCTTACTCTCTGCCCTGCTGGCTGCTTGGAGCAGTGTGGGTACTACCCGAACGCACACAGCAAGAGTCAGCATGGCTCCCTTCCTCACCCAACACTTTCCCAACTTTCCTTGGCCTAGAATGTTCTACTGCAGCCCCTTATTCTGCTGACTCCATCATCTCTCAGCTCCTGGCCTCCCTGAGTCCCCAGCCCCACCTCCATGTGCTCCTGGCACAATTAGCCTTCCCACCCTTGTCATCAGCCACATTGTGCTTGGTTGCAACTATTGTTTAACTCGAGTCTCTCCCTAGTTCAGTTACACGCCCAATCTCCACTATGCCGTTAAGCTCTAAGCAAACAGTGAGTGAGTGGATGGATGGTCGGTCGGACGGACGGACGGACGGACGGACGGATTCAAGGTCAGGAAGAGCCCAGCCTGCTCCCACAGAATCCACAAAAGAATGTATCAGATGCACAAGGAAACATGTTTCTCATCCTAAGAGTAGCAAGTAATATCAGGATAGAAATCTACAGTGCCAAGTGTTCTAGCTATGTGCACATTCAATCTTTAAGGACCATCTGTGTAATTGTTTAATTCTTAACATGAGAAAACTCAGGTCCAAACATGGGAAGTAAGATGCCCAAGATCGCAGTAAGGAAGCTAAAGATCCAGTCGTGGCCCAGAGCTTGTGCACGAAGACTCCACTGCTGAATGGATGGTAGTAACCGGGGCTCAACCTGTCCGGAACTGGAATGTCCCCAGCTGGGTCCTGGTCTCTAGGAGAACCTGGGCTCGACCTGTGGCCCCTCTGGACTACTTTCCCTTCTGCACACTCCTGGGTGGTTTCAGATGGAGTCCAGGGCTCTGTCTGACCACTTCCTGGGAGCACAGGAAGGGGTCCAGGATGAGGGCAGGAAGAGACCAAAGCAAGAACTATGTGCTGCCCTCATTAGCTGGAGTGAGGTGCTCAGGTCCAGGTCTGGAGTAGCTGCAAGGAGCATCCAGGGGGCTGCCTCCGTCCTCCTACCTTCCCCTCTTCTCCTCACTGACTTCAGAGGACCCCACAGACTGACTGAACCCTCCATTGTCTCCATACTCACTCATACTCCCATTTCACAGAACGAGAGCAGAAGCCTGGCCTGGGGGAGGTTCAGGCTAGGAACAGATGGCAGATGACCATTTCTCAGATGAACCTGTGTTCTCTAGTGCACAGGAGTTTACCGAGAACACACAGGACAGAGGATCCAAGGGAAAGCAAGAGCAACACCCCAACAGGCTAGAGAAGAAAAAACCCTCCGACGACAGAGCCAGGAGGTGGTTAAGTGCAGCAGGGCGGACATGCCATTAGAGAGCTGTGAACCCCATGGCTGCTGGCCAGGCCACCAACTGACAAGTGCAGACGACACTGCAGCCTCTTCCATCAGCGGCAGTACACCCCGTGGAGATCCCAGCTTCCCACACCAAGGTCAAGCAGCCAGGGCAGGGCTGTCCCCAGAGCTGCCACTGTGTCATGGAACAGGCAGCCGGAGCAATGGGCTGCACCTAGGTGCCCAGGCGCAGCCGGCTGTCCTTCCCAGGCAGCTCTCCAGGCCCACATGCACAAAGGGAATACCCCGATCAAAGAGGGCAGCTCCCCTCCTCCCACAGGGAGCACCGGCCATGTCTGCCCACGCCTCTCTCAGAGGGGACCGAAGACAATATCCTGGGATTGAGGAAGTGGCCTCTGAACCAGTTCTCCCACGACATCATCCTCTCAGGCTGTGGGACCGTTAGACTGGGCGGAAGTGGACTCCAGCCAAGGGGATGTTCCCAGATGTCATGCTTTCAAACTGGTCCCGCCCCAAAAGGCAGGCGAGGACAGGCCTGCCGGGGGAAGCCCTGGGCGAGGATTTAGGATGCGGTTCGGCTCCCCTTGCCAGCGGATAGCCACGGGTTCCCTGGCAGTCAGACACACCAATGTTGGCTCCAGAAAGGAGAGCCGAGGAAGGCCGGCTGACCTGGGGGCGGGGTCCTGGGCAGCTTAAAGCAGAGGTCAGCGTGGCTGACTCCCCCCCCCCAAGCACCAAGCATCCTCCAAAGCAGTTTTATGGGGGAGGGGGTGCACATCGGGGTCCTTTAGTCGGTCTTATCCAAGATACCCCTCAAGAGAAGAGTAAAAAAGAAGGTGGGGCACTCTCTCTCTGCTTGTTCAGTGTTAAAGTGGACGGCTGTGGTCTCAGGGCCTCCGGGCCTCAGGCCCTGGGTCTCTTCAGCCAGCATTGCAGGTCCTCCTCCCCAAACCCTGCCACTCCCCTTCCCCCTAGGTCCCCACCTTGAGATAGTCGTTCTCCGAGCGCAGTTCTTCCAGCTCCCGCACCAAGCCGCCGGGCCCGCAGTCCAGCATCTCCTCGGTGAGGTCGGAGAAGGCGAGCGAGGCGCTGAGTGGCATGCGACTGCTGCCCACCGACGATGCGGCCACAGACGGCTCATCTGGGGAGGCGGGCGGCCGCGGAGGCTGCTGCCCCGACGGTGCGGGCTGGGGCGGCTGCCCGGTGCGGGTCCCCGCCGGGCCACCCGCCGCAGACTCGGCGTCGCTGCTCAGCGCCAGCTCCAGGCCCAGAATGCGCGCCTCCTCCGACGCGCAGTCCGACACCTCCGAGCTGCTGTCGGTGAGGCTGGGCGGCGGCGGCGGCGGGCGCGGCCCAGTACCCGGACGAGGGCGGCCCTTGGCTCGGACCCCCGTGCGCACCCCGGCCACCCGTGGCCCTGCGCCCCGGGCGCCGGGCGTCACCGTGCGCCCCTTCTTGTCCGGCCTCACTGAGGACGCAGCGCCACAAGCTGCAGCGGCGCCCGGGCCTGTGCCGCGGCGGCCCTTGGCCAGAGACCAGCCGGCCACGTCCTTGGGCCGGGCTGGCGACGGCGCGCGGTGGCTCTTCTTCCTTTCCGTGGGGGGCGCGGGTGCGGGCGGGGGGCAGTAGCCCCGCGCTGATGAGTCTCCCGCTGGCGCCTCCATCGCGGCCTCCCCGACTCTCAGCGAGCGGCGCGCATGGCCCGGGAGCGGCGGGTCTGGGGGTCCCTGCGGCGGGTTCCGGATGCGCTCCCGTCGCTCAGGCCGCGACTGCGCTCCGGCCTCCTGCGACCGGGGACTGCGCTCGGGCCCTGACCCGCGCCGCGCGGCCTCTCCGCCACTCGGTGCTCGCAGCGCGCGGCCCGATCTCCTCCAGGCACCGCGACTCCGGCTCCGGCTCCGCCCGGTGCCCGCCCCCTCCGCCTCGCCGCGCCCTCGGAGCGAGCCCGGACCCCGGCTACCGCCTGCTCGGCGATCGCCGCCTCGGACTCCCAGTCCGGCTGAGGCCAGGGCCCCGGCTCCGCCCGGCGCGGCCCGCCCCCCACGCAGCCCCGCCAGTTCCCCGCCCCGCCGCCTCGGCTCGGGGGCGCGCGGCTCGGCGAACAAAAGGCGGACGCGGCGGGAGCAGCGGGGAGGGACGCGGGCGGGGAGCGAGGGAGGGATCCGCGAAGCAACAGCGACCCCCTCGAGGGTCAGGCAGGCCCGGGCAGCCGCGGCCTCGGCTCGCTCCGGCAGCTCCCGGCCACTGGCCGCTCCCCTGCGGGCTGGGGGCTCGCACCCGGCCGCGGAGCCTGGAAGCCTGGCGTTGCCTTGGGGGCCTCGTGGACGACAGGAGAGGATATTCCCCGGCTGAGGCCCCACGGACCTCAAAGGGCCGGAGCCAGCATCCATGCACAACCAGCACCGCGCCGCGCGCTCCTTGCGGGTGCTGAGCTTGCGCGAACTCCGCCCCCTTTAGCTGGGCATGACAAACGACCCCATCCCTTAGAACGGTAAACTGAAGTATGACCCGGCACGCGGTCGGCTCTTGGTCAGTGGAGGAACCAGGATGGAGCCTCAAGCCTCCAGAGTGACTGGACTCCTGCCTCTGCTGTCATTGTGACCCCGCGTATATACTGGACTCTGCACACCCTGGCCACCTGCGATCCCAAGCATAACCCTGTTTCCCCCCTTCCCCCCACCAGTTTCAAGGTCTTTGCGATTAAACTTCAGTCTGTGCCTCATGGATGTCAACTATCGGATGCTTGCGGGAGGGACCTCGGCTCTGGGCCCAATGGAGACTAGCATGGCCTGAAGACTGTGACCCTGAATCCTACTTGGTCACCCCTCAAACCAAGTGCACCCTACCCCGTTCTAGTGGGCGTGTTTTGTTTTGTTTTTTCCCCTTCTAGGCTGCTCTCATTAACCAAGTAGTTTCTCCAGGTCCCTTATAGACCTCCCTCACCTCTGCCCTCTCCTACAGCCCTCACCGTGCCTGAACCACAGTAAGTTCGTTGGCTGGTTCATGGAAGGCACTCATCCTCAGAGTGCCTGCCCGCCCACACACACACACACACACACACACACACGCACACACACACGCACACCTTCTCTAGTCCCTTCCCTCTCTCCTCCTTTCCCCCTTCTTTTCCATGCGTTCCTCTTTCTCCTCTTCGCTCTTCCATTTCTCCTACTTACTCTTTCGCGCCTTCTCCTAACCTCATCTACAACACAGCAGGCTGGTACCAGGTTTACTCCTTTTTCTCCTACCCACTCTCCACACTGAAGTGCAAGCAGGTCTGCCGCAGCACTGGGTTAGTGCTGGGCATTGATTTGGGAACCTTGTGCGAGAGACCCAGGCTGAGTGAGTCATTTTACAGGCTGGCCAGAGTCCAGCCTGGTCTGGTCTAATGTGCCCATGACAGGCATATCAATCGGTCCCTGCTCTCGCAGGCTTTCACAGTGGTACACAGAAGTTGGGCAGTCCCTGCACATTTTTGCCCTCTCTCTGCTTCTGCTTCTCCTCCTGTGGAGAATGTGGGCTTTGAGGTGTGAGAGGGTCAGCTTGTGACCATCAGTTGCTCCAAGCCCACAGCTGTGTCCTTTGGGTAGGCACTAATGCTGACCATGATTGATATTTCATCAAAGAATCTTAGAATTCTCTCCCCTCACTGCCTCTCTCTCAAGATGGGGGTCTCATATATTACCCAGGCTGGCCTGGAATTCTTGAGCTTTGATAAGCTTTAGCTTCACAAACAGCTGAGAACACGAGAATCTGTCAACCCTTGTCTCAGAAGGGTTAAGGAACTTCTCTCTGGTCAAATTTTCCAAAAAGAAGCCCATGGATGTGTATTCCAATTGCTCTTTTATTACTGTTATTTTGTGTGTGACACACGTGTGTGTACATGTGCAGGTGCACACAGGCCACAGTGAACGTGAGGGTCAGAGGACAACTTTCAGGATTTGGTGCTCTCCATCTGACTAATTGCTCTTCTCACAGTGACAGTGCCACTTTCCGCAGCCACCGAGTCTGCTTCCTGCCCTCAGTCTGGGCAGAAGACCTCTGTGACAGGCCTCTCACTCCTGTGCTCTCTCTATTGCTCTTCATCCATCCTTGGAATCCAAGTGCCATGGGGAAAGGAAGTTTAGGCCTCCTGGGGTGGCCACGTGGAGGCAGCCCAGGCAGCAACTCTCGTCCCTACTGGTCTGTGAGATGACCAGCACCCAGATACTCCACCCATCTGCTGCACCCATCTGACTGCAGCAGAGATGAACGCTCTCATCAACCCAGCCCACAGCTCTGAAGGCATCAGGGTGCCCCCGGTTTTTTTTCCCCTACATAGCAGTGGGTAACTGGAATGCACAGCCAAGATCATACACCTTGGAAATGGCCTGGCTGGGGTTGTTTGATCATAGGCTACACTCTTCCAGGGCCTGTTACTAATTGGCCAGCTTAAGTATCCAGTGAGTGCTGCAAAAATTGCTGACCAAGGAAGAAGCATTCAATGATGGCTTTAGTGGCAGGTGTAAGAAATGAAGGGGGCCGGGCGGTGGTGGTGCATGCCTTTAATCCCAGCACTCGGGAGTCAGAGGCAGGCGGATCTCTGTGAGTTCGAGGCCGGGCTGGACCGATAGCCTCCAAAACAATACAGAGAAACCCTGTCTCGTAAAAACCAAAAAAAAAAAAAGAAAAGAAAAGAAATGAAGGGGACGATGACCCCAAAGTTCTCCATTCAAGCTGCTAAATTGCCCATCGGGATGGAAACTGAATGGCAGCTAACTCTTGGAAGGCTTCCAAGAGGAGGTATCTTTTCCTACTAAAGTGAAGGTCATTTTCATTCTACAAATCATGAAAGCAATATGCCACCTGCTGTGGGGTGATAGAGAACCCCACTTGGGTAGGGTTATCAGGGAACCCTCTCTGAGGAGGTGGCCTGTATGCCAGTTAGCCAAAGGGCCTGGGAAGAGAATCTGGGGCAGATTGAAGAACAAGGGCACAGTCCCTGGAGGAAGAGAAAGTGTGACAGATGCTTAGGCAGGGGAGGTTAGTGTGGCTGGAGCCCCCTGGGAGATAACGAAGGAAAAGATAGAGTGGAAAGCAGGAACCAGACGGGACACAGGCAAGGGGGTGTCTCTGATGCAGTGACAAACATTGGAAACTGGCAGCAGGGAGTCACACCATCTAATTTATGTCCAGAAGTAGATCGGCATGCTGACAAGAACAGTTAGTTGCTGGCCAAGCTTAGGAGTTCATAGACAGGACTCTGGGAGCTAAGGGAGCTGAGTCGCATCTAGAAGCCATAGAGAAAGAATGTGTCCTGCTTTGAAGAACCAACCACTTTTGGCTGGATGTGGACTCCAAAAAGTGATGTCAAGTTCATCTCCCCATTACCCTTTGGAGAACAAATTACCGCACCATTTGCTTTAGCAGGAAGGACAGGCCGGGAGGTCTCAAAGGGTAAGAGATCCTCAGTTCATAGGGCACAGTGGGTTTGAGGCACCTGTGGAGATGCCCAATCAGAGACCCAGAAAAGAAGTAACACAGGCATGTGAAGCCAGGCCAGCAACGAGGTCTGGAGTAGTCAAGAAAATGTTCACCTTGAGGGCTGGAGATATTGCTCAGTTGGTAGCATTCAGCTTAGTATGCCAAGGCTCTGGGGTCCATCCCCAGTATCACATAAAACCAGACACAGTGGTGCATGCCTCTGTAGTCCCAGAACTCAGAAGGTGAAGGCAAGAGGACCAGAAGTTCAAGATCATCCTGAGTGGCATAGTGTGTTTGAGGCCAGTCTGGGCTACAACGAGACCCTATCTCAATAAAAGAAAATATTCACTTTGAAACTAGGTAAACTTACTCAGGGAGAGAGTCTGAGGAGTGTAATATGATAAATTAAAAGACCCAGATATTGGGGTTCAAGCTTCAGGCTGAGGTTCAGAAAAGCAAAGCAGCTGGCCACTAGCTTTCACCTCTAGCTCAGGGTGAAAGGACTGATCCATGCATGAGCTCTTCACCAAGTCTCAAACTGTTGCCTCTCCTCAGTGTGGCTGGAGAACGAATGCCTCATACTGACTACTGAAGACTCTGCTCCTGTCTTTTATACCCCTCTAGGATTAAAGGCACGCGATCCCATGTACTGAGGTCATCTTTGTGTGAGCTGTTTCTCTTTAGGACTAGGTCAATCTCGTGTAGATCTGGGTGGCCTTGGACTCACAGAGATCCCATCAATCTCTTAATCCTGAGTCCTAGGATTACAGGTATGGACCACCACCTCCTAGCTTCTGGCTGCTGGGATTAAAGGTGCGTGTCACCACTGCCTGATCTTCATAGCTTGAGGCTGACTTTGCTTTTCTGAATCTTCAGGCAAGCTTTAATAAATCATAAATAATATATCACCATTAGGGAGAGAAAAACCAGTCCAGAACCAGAAAGTTAGGTATTTCTCTTTCAAGAAAATAGTAAAAACAAAAATAGAAAGCAGCGACAAAAGTGTGGTCCCTGCCCTAGCGAAGGAGTAGAGCAGGTTGAGAGAGGCTGCTGGGGTGCGGGGTGCAGAGGTCTGACAACAGAGCCATAGGACGTGGCCTGAGAGTGCAGAGAGGTGGAGGCAGAGTGTGGAGAAGTGGCAGGATCATGGGGCCCAAGGAATCGGCAAGGAAGAGGAGCAAGAGGCAGGAGAGGAGACGGAGCCAGCTTGGCTTTGGAAAAGAGCAGGACCCACCTTCCCTAAGGGAGTGGAAGGTGGGCTGACCAGCAGGAGACATCAGCTGAGGGGGAGGAAGAGGGGGAGCCTTGAGGAGGATAAAGTCTGGAAGCAAAAGTGACCTCACAACTGGAACCGACTTCCCGGTATGCCTGCATGAGTGTGTTAGAATGGCTCCACACCCACGTGAGACTCAGAGAATATCCAGGTAACCTGGCGAACACGAGTGTGTTCCCTCTGGTTAGACACGGTTTCTCTATGTAGCTTTGGAGCCTGTCCTGGAACTCACTCTGTAGACCAGGGTGGCCTCGAACTCACAGAGCTGCCTGCCTCTGCCTCCCGAGTGCTGGGATTAAAGGCGTGCCCCACCACTGCCTGGCTCATCTTTCTTTTGTGTTGCTGAAATCATACTGAATTTTAGAGGCAGGGGCTGGAGAGATGGCTCACCCTTACTGCTCATGCAGAGGACCCAGGTTCAGTTCCCTGCACTCAACTTGTGACTCACAACTGTCTGTAACTCTAGTTCCAAGACACAAATAAGGTACAAGCAGGGAAAACACTCATACATATGAAATAAAATAAATATCCCCCCACAGACACATCTTGAGGCATTACAATGAATCCTATGTCAGCCTTGGTTAAATAGCAAAACCCTCTCTTTAAAAAAAATAAATAAAAGACTAGCCAGGTAGTGGCATAGCATGCCTTTAGTCCCAGCACTCAGGAGACAGAGGAAGGCAGATCTCTGTGAGTTCGAGGCCAGCCAGGTCTACAGAGTGAGTGCCAGGACAGGTCCCAAAGCTACATAGAGAAACACCATCTCAAAAAAGCCCCCCCTAAAAAAACAAAGACTGGGACATAGCTCAATCATAGGACACTTGCCTAGTATAAGGCCTTGGATCCAATTTTCAGCACCATACATAAGGAAAGTTGTTCCCAGGGGTGAAGGCTGTGTTCGGAAAGGGGCTGTGCCAGGTCTGATGGAGGAGAAAGGTGAAGGGGCTGCAAGGAATCCGATGGTGGCATCTCCTAGGGACTGTAACCTGGCAAGGGTTGCTCCTGTCTGATCACACACTGAACCTTCCAGACATGAGAGCACAGAACTGGACAGTCAGTCAGAGTGCTTGCTGGTCAGTCAGAGTGCTTGGTGGTCAGTCAGAGTGCTTGCTGGTCAGTCAGAGTGCTTGGTGGTCAGTCAGAGTGCTTGGTGGTCAGTCAGAGTGCTTGGTGGTCAGTCAGAGTGCTTGGTGGTCAGTCAGAGTGCCTGGTGGTCAGGTGCTGAGTGAATTGCAAAAGGCGCTGGGTGAGTGGGGTTTGGTGGCGCACCCACGTCTCCAATGCCAGCACTGGGGAGGCAGAGACAGGAGGATCTCTGGGATGTCAAGGCCAACCTGGTCTACATAGCTAGATCCAGGCCAGCCAGGGCTACATAGTGAGATCCTGTCTCCAAAAAAAGAAAAGAAAAAAAAGAATTGGGGTGAAGGGGCCAGGAAGCCAGGCCTGTGACCATGAGCTGTTTACAGCTCAAACACCCATTGCAACAGCCATGTTTGTGGTAACAACAGGTCCCTTCACTTTCCTGTTTTCCCTATAATATAAGTCCTTAGGCAGGCCATACTTCCTGGACAGAGTGCTGCCCCAGGTCACCTGGCCTTGAGGCCCAAGTCACCTGATGGCCATCAGAGCTGTCTTCTAGTTATGTGGAAATGGACTGAACCACCATGACTTAGTTAGCTGATCTGCCCAGCAGGCTTTTCAGGGGTTCTTGGTCTGGTGGGGATACTCACTTTGAAGCCCCTCCCAAGTCTGAGCCCTGTGATTGAAAAATATAGCCGGGCAGTGGTGGTGCACGTCTTTAATCCCAGCACTCTGGAGGCAGAGACAGACGGATCTCTGTCAGTTCTGAGGCCAGCTTGGTCTACAGAGTGAGTTCCAGGACAGCCTCCAAAACTACACAGAGAAACCTTGTCTCTAAAAACAAAACAATATAACAATAACAATATATATATATATATATTTATATTCTCACAGTCCTACTGAGAGCCATGGGCAGGGTGCTCACCGTGTGCCACACTTGTGTAGGCTTCCTGTGAGAGACCTTGCCAAACGTACCCCAGCCAATGAGGAAAGTCCTTATCCCACCTGTGGGGAGGCGTTGGCTGGGGCAGAGTTCAGGCCTGGGCTCCCCGGAGTGATCTGTGGAGAACCCGCAGCACAGCTCTTTCTTGTGTCAACTGCACATCTCTGAGTCTAACCCTAAGTGAGAGGTCTGACCTCCACGGTGGGCATCAGGCAACAGGTGGTATTGAGGAGCCAGTGAGAAGCAGCTAGGAGCCACACAACCTGGTATCTCTCCCCTCTTTCGGCTAATGGTGACAGGGCTAGGAACCTGGGGGGTGGACAAGGTCTTGTTAGTGTGTTTGTGGGATTTGAGTTTATGACGTAGGGTAATCACTGGCACATTTCCATCTGGAACTGGCCTGGCATGGGGCCAGGGCCTGCCGCCTCAGGGCAGGTATAAGAAGCCAGGAGAAGGGCAGGAACCAGGGCCAGGCAAAGACACCAGTCACACACAGAGGTGGGACCAAAGTCACTGTGTCCAGACATCGGTAGAGACAGGTCATTCTGGGTGTGGCCTTCTCTTTGAGGGGTTGCAAAGACCATCGGTGGATGAGCTGCAGGAGGGGCGGGTCGGCAGGGATTTTGGTGAGTATCTTCAGCCACCATCTTCCCCAGCGTCTAGCTCTCCCTTCCCCCACTGCTCCCGCCTCATTTGACTGAGGATCCCAAGTGGAGGCCAGGTGGCCTCTCATTGGGGATTGGACACTGGATCTATCCAAGGGCAGGTGCAATAAATACTGGCATTTAGCCAGCTGCATCAAATGCCCAAGTGCTGTGGGTTACCACACAGACTTAAGCACAGGGGAGGGAGGCTTAGTGTCCTGATCCTTGGGCATTATCTTCGTTTCTTTTTTCCTTTAGATTTTATTTATTATGTATACAGTGTTCTGTCTGCATGTATCCCTGCAGGTCAGAGGAGGGCACAGATCTCATTACAGATGGTTTTAGGCCATCATGTGGTTGCTGGGAATTGAACTCAGGACCTCTGGAAAAGCAGTCAATGCTCTTAACCTCTGAGTCATCTCTCCAGCCCTATCTTCATTTCTTATGAGAGAGATTCTGTGCTCCCAGATGAGGAGAGTGTGGGGTAACTTGTCCAAGGTTGCATGACCTAGTAAGGAGTAAATCTCTACCTCTTCAAACTCCCTCCCTCCCTTCCTCCCTCCCTCCCTCTCTCCCTCCCTCCCTCTCTCTTTTTTTCTTTTCCCCCCTTTTCCAGGTTTTTGTGCACACTGGGAGGAAGCTACCCTGGAGGAGAAGAGCCTGTCTTGGGTTAAGAGTGGAGGGGTGTGTGTGTCTGTGTGCATGTGTGCATGTGCGTGCGTGCGTGCGCGGCGCGCGCGCGCGCGTGTGTGTGTGTGTGTGTGTGTGTGTGTGTTGGGAGTGTGATTTGCCATTACCACTGAGCAATAGCCTGTTCTTTTTCTCCCCTTCCCTTCTATTCCTTTCCCTTCCTTTATTTCCTTTTCTTTCTCTTCTCCTCTCGTTCCTTCCTTTCTTCCTTCCCTTTCTGTCTTCCTTTCCCTTTCTTTCTCTTTATGCTAGAGATTGGGTTCAGGGCCTCCCTCGTGCTAGACAAGCACCTACTGAGATGCAACCTTAGGCAAAACTATGACCTTAAAAGGTGGGTTCATTTTGTCTGGGCATGCCCCTTCAGGCTTTTGGTACATACAGCACACTCTTCAGCTCGGGAGGGATATGGATTGCAGGCCATCAGTCCTGGAAAGCTCCTGAGATTTCCAGTCCAGTGAGTTAAAGTTGTAGAGAGGGGCTGTGAGGTGGGCTCGGTGGGTGGGTGTGGTTACCATGCAAGTCCAATGACCTGAGTTCAATTCTTGGAACCCACATAAAGGTGAAAGGTGAGAGCTGCCCTCTAATAGTTTCCCTCTAGCTTTCATACATATGCCTTGGTTGTTCATGCACACAGATATTTTTCTTTTGAAACAGAGTCTCACTGTGTAGCCCTGGCTGACCTGAAACTTTATATGAAGACCAGGCTGGCCTTGAACTAACAGAGCTCTCTACCTGCCTCTACCTCCCAAGTGCTGCAGTAAATGTGTGCACCACCATACATTTAATTATTGTGGCTACAGTAATATTTTAATGTTACATATTGGGAAATTGAAACCTGGGGTGCAAATGATTTTATTCTCAGTCCTTGATGGAAGCAGGGGTCCTGGATCACTAGTCTGGACCTTAGGTATCCTACAGAGGAATCAATGTGTCTAGGCAAGACTGTTAGAGAAGAAACTGGAGTGGCCAGAATTCACAGTTGGAATTTACTGTACATGGCTAACACATGGTAGATGCTAAGTGCCCATGAGGCCTTGATGTCGAGTGGCTCACAGACCCACCCAGTGACCACTTGGCCTGGGGATCACAGGCGAGAGGGAGCAAAGGGCATCTGGGTAGGCATGGAGCCAGTGGGGAGTGCCCGGGCACCTTCTCATTGCTGGCTTTGCCTTGCAGGGCTTCTTCCGGCAGGGCCGAGGACTGTCCCCCTTCTTGGGCTGTGACAGGAGAATGAAAGGCGGAAGGTGGCGTTACACTCAGCTGGTAAGGGCTCAGCTTGGGGACGGGATCCCTAGCAGGGAGGGTCACAGGCTAGGGTGGAGGTGTGTGTGTGTGTGTGTGTGTGTTTACCTATTTACCCTTCTCAAGTCCTTCCCAGCTGGCTGGGGCTTTAGAGCAAAGGCTGGTCCTAAGACACCCCCTCCCCCAAAGGGAATAGACTACTGCTGCTGTCCCATTGGAGGGACTATTCCATAGTGAGAATCCTTCCAGGTCTGTCCCTGAGCAATGGAGGAGGTAGGAGAGGCATACTGGGCATTTCTTCCCAGATGGGTGTCTCCTTCTATGATGAGCCTTATGTTACTGTGTACGGGTCTGCTCACATGTGTGAACACACACACCCAAACACACCACGGTAGAGTTTAGAAGCTCAGTTAAGTGAATGAGAATTTCTACTCTAGCGTCTGTGCCCACTGATAACCACGCTTATGTCTATAACCCCAGGTCACCCTCAAAGCAGACTGCAGTCAACATACCAATCTGCCCTGTACAGTGCTCTCACCAACCTGCCCCCACACACCTCTATTTCAAGCAACATACAACTCTCCGGGGAGCTAGGTGTGACTGCACATGTCTGCTTGCCGACTGAAATGAACCTCAGAGTTCCCCCATATGATATGGAAATCAGTGGCACCTTCTCAGGACACAGGGTAAATACAAAGAGACCATTCATAGCACAGTCATCACACATGCTTGGTCACAGGATTCTGGACCATGCCAACATCAGCCATTCTGTGATCAGTATTGTTTTTAATGTATTTATTTATTATGTATACAGTGCATACCAGGAGAGGGCACCAGATCTCATTACAGGTGGTTCTGTGCCACCATATGGTTGCTGAAAATTGAACTCAGGACCTCTGGAAGAGCAGTTAGTGCTCTTAACCTCTGAGCCATCTCTCAGTATTGTTTTAGTTACTACTTCATGTTCAAACACACAACTACAGCAGAACTAGACTCCTACCTGTCCTTCTGCCCTCTTCCAGGCTTATAGCTTGGAGCCTGGATCTTACGCTGGGGTTAGAGCAGATTGGCAACAGGTGATGGTGCCCATCTGAGTGGCACTGTGCAGGCCTTTGCCCACCCCCTTCCTCCGTTAACAGTAGCCAGCCAGCCGGGAAGAAGCAGGTTGGAGGTAGGGACAGTCTTGCTTGTGGTGGGTGCTCCCAGTTCCGTTGGGCTGAGCTTGCAGGGGCCTGGGCAGAGGAGCCCAGGCGGCCCTAGCTTTTGAGCTCAGGATATGGTGATAGCTGCTGCTCCTGTGTCCTTCAATCCGCCAAGTTTTTTTTTTTTTTTGTATCTTTACAGCCCACCCAGGTGGAGGATACCCTGTCTGGGGAGGAGGACGAGGAGGAGGAGGAAGAGGAGGCAGTCCCAGCCCCAGTTCCTCAGGAACCCGTGGAGCCTCAGTTGACAGAAGCCAGCCAGGTCCTGGGTGCCTCAGAGATTAGGCAGGTTCGGGCACATTCTATGTAGCAGGACTTCAGCCCTGAACCCCTTCCTATGCCAGCCACACTCAGGGGTGCTGGAGTCCCGGCTGTAGTGTCCCCAGCTCAGTGTCACCTTGACTCAATCATGCTTTCTCCCTGGGCTTCCCTGTCCTCTGTATCACACTAGTGTCTCCTTCTCACTGAGTAGAGCTGGGGAAAGGAGCAAGGGTGACATGGATCCTGGGAACTAAAGCCAGAGCTGGGGTGGGACAGACACCTAAGGGAGCACCAGCAGGAAGGGATCAGCCTTTCGTCTGTCCCGTAAGGACCAGGGACCGAGGTGAGTCCCAGAGATCCACCCTGGGTTGGCATCCTGGCTCTGCCCTCTACTCTTCATCTCTCTGAACCTCGGTTTTCTCGTCTGTAAAATGGAAACAAAAACTAGCCCCAAAGTCTCTGGACAGGGTAAAAGGCTGAGTAGTAGGAGGAGGGAAGACGGAGGCAATCCCTTCACTCAGCTCTAGCTCTGCCTCCAGCTCAGTCTCCACCTGCCCGCCAGAGTCGCTGGCCAATCCTGGAGTCTGGTCTTCTGCACATCAAGGGACGGCTTCAGTCTGCGGAGGCTGTACCGGCAGATGGAGGGTCACAGTGGGCCAGTGCTGCTGCTGTTGAGAGACCAGGATGGGCAGGTGAGCTGAGCCAGAACGCAGGGGCTCCCAGCCGGACCCATGGGTACTGCCCAGGGCAGAGTGAGACGAAGAGAGCAGAGATGGCAGACTCCATCACGCGTAAGGTGCACTGAGACCTGTCTGATGAAGGGAGCAGAGACGGCAGACTCCATCACCCGTAAGGTGCATTGACGGTAGCACAGAGACCTGCCTGACTTGGAGCCAGGCCCTCATTGGCTCACTCTTGTTCCAAAGCCACTCCGCGTGCCAGGTGAGGCGGTGTGGAGAAGAGTGGAGTCAGGTCTGCAGCATGCTTAGGGTCTATGTCTTTTGTGTATGTGCGGTGGTGGGGCACTGAGGCCATGCAAATCTGCATCCTTATGTTTGCAAGCACAAGAGCATGGACGGGCTGTTTTGATTTATTCTGAGACAAGAGTCTCACTCACTAAAACACAAACTGGCTCAGAACCCTATGTGTAGCCTGTGCTGACATTGAACTCCAGATCATCCTGCCTCAGTCTTCCCAGTGCTAAGTACAGGCAGATGTCACCACCTCTGGCTCTTACAAAAGTCAAGCAGGCAATCTACATGTAAATGATGGATGCATATTTTGCAAATATCCCCAGCTGGCGGGGAAGAATGGACTGGAGGAAGTCAGAGGGGACAGCCAAGACTATACGCCACAAGAGGAGCTTTGACGGCTCCACCTGAAGTCCACGTGCTCACTCCAACAATAGAATGTCTGGCAGGTTCTCCATGCAAAAAGTGGGAGGGACTGAGAGCTGGTTTCAAATGCTCCTCTACACAAGGAACATACCAGAGTTAGAAGAAATTTCAAGGGTCCCCCACATAGACAGGGAAGACTTTGTGCTTGAGAGCCAAGAAACTTACCCTGTTCAGACAGCACCCCTTCGTGGCAGAGCACTATGTATTATGAAAAATTTCTCCAAGCGTTAGGCTTAAATCCTGCACCCCATGGCCCCCACATGCAGCATTGTGATGATCCACACCCCAACCCCAGAAGCCATTCCACAGAAGGAAGACAGCTGTGTCCATCAGACAAACAGCAGGCAGGTGAGAAGCAAGATGCAGAACCACGGCTATCAAACATGTTGTGTTTCTCTCTTTAAAGCAGGATGTGACGTACATACTTGAGATGATCTGGGACAATTGAATATACAATGATACAAATAGATAATACGAGGATTATTGTTAGTTCTCTTAGGTGTGATCCTAGCACTGGGGTTATATAAGAGTAAGCCCCGCCGGGCAGTGGTGGCGCACGCCTTTAATCCCAGCACTCGGGAGGCAGAGGCAGGTGGATCTCTGTGAGTTCGAGGCCAGGCTGGACCGATAGCCTCCAAAAGAATACAGAGAAACCCTGTCTCGTAAAAACAAACAAACAAACAAACAAATAAACAAAAAGAGTAAGCCCCTTTCTTGGGAGCTGGTGTATTAGGAACAAAGGATCATAGTAGTCAAGTGGGTCTGAAAGAAGAAAGAGAGGAAGCCAGTATGGGAACTACAGCAAACTCCCTGTTGGGTCTAAGTCGGAAGGAACCTGTACTTGTTTTGAACTTTAAAAAGTAATTTTTTGAGGCCGGGCGTTGGTGGCGCAAGCCTTTAATCCCAGCACTCGGGAGGCAGAGGCAGGCGGATCTCTGTGAGTTCGAGGCCAGCCTGGTCTACTGAGTGAGTTCCAGGACAGCCTCCAAAACAATACGGAGAAACCCTGTCTCGAAAAACCGAAAAAAAAAGTAATTTTTTGGTGGTACTAGGGTTGAACCTATGCGCAGGCCGGCAAGCACTCTCCCCAGTGAGCTACATCCCTAGCCTTGTGCTCTTCTATACATTTGAAGTTGGTGCAGAAAGTCGAAAGCGAACAGTTTATGTGTGGGGTGTCAGTGTAGGAAAGTCTGTGTACTGCCATTGGACAGGTGCCAGGAGGAAGTGACAGAAGTCCTCTTGGGGAGGAAGAAGGGGGATTTGACTATGGCATATTTCGTTGTCTTTCTGCTGTGTATGATTGCCAGCTCTTCTAGAAGCAGTACTTGTATGAAATAAGCATATTTGGGGGCTGAGGTGATGGTTCCGTTAGAAAAGTACTTGCCAGGCCGGGCGTTGGTGGCACACGCCTTTAATCCCAGCCTTGGGAGGCAGAGACAGGTGGATCTTTGTGAGTTCGAGACCAGCCTGGTCTACAAGAGCTAGTTCCAGGACAGCCTCCAAAGCCACAGAGAAACCCTGTCTCGAAAAACCAAAAAAAAAAAAAAAAAAGAAAGAAAAAAAAAAAGAAAAGTATTTGCCAGGCAAGCAGGAAGACCTGAGTTCAATTCCCAGCAGCCATGTAAAAAGCTGTGTGTGAAAGGATATGCCTGTAACCCCAACGCTGGGAGGCAGACACAGGAGGACCTTGGAGTTTGCTGGCCAGACAGTCTCATCGGTCAGTTCCAGATTTAGTGAGAGCCTGTCTCAAAAAATAACATGGAAGGCAATAGAGGAAGATGATGGCCCATATTGGCCTCTGGCTTCTGTATGCATGGGAACATGTGTGTGTGTGTTTTTGAGGCCGGGCCTCAAAATGTATGTATGTCACATTCATACAACAGACACACACAGTATGTTTAAGAAAAGGTAAGCTAGACATGGCACACGCCTGTAAAGGCTCTCATTGAGTTAAGTTCTGGGTCAGCCTTTGTTACACAGCAGGACCCTGAATAGGGAAAGAAACCGACAGAGAGAGAGAGAGAGAGAGAGAGAGAGACAGACAGAGACAGAGACAGAGACAGAGACAGAGAGTCAGGACAATTCAGGAGGCAGTCAGCAAGGCTTCTTCCTGTGAAGTGTCGGGAAGAGGGCAGGCTGGTGGCCTTGGAGATTCCCTGTCCCAGCTTTGCACCCAGCATCCCTGGAGTCCTGGAGGCTGAGTGTATTTCCAAGCCTGGTGAAGGCGGCTGGTGGACTCAGCACTTTCCTCTGCTTTCCAGATGTTTGGAGCCTTCTCCTCCTCAGCCATCCGACTCAGCAAAGGCTTCTATGGTACTGGCGAGACATTCCTCTTCTCCTTCTCCCCACAGCTAAAGGTGAGGTTCCCACCTTCTGTTACGGAGGGGGCTATGACAGGTCACAGCTCTGGGGATCCTAGTGGCTCCCAGCTTCCATCCCCATGCTGGCCTGCCTCCTGTCTACTTCTCCACAGGGCAATGGTGGGCATGGAAGTGCCCTTCGCTGCCCATCAGGATCTCCAGAAAGCATGAGCTGACTGAGCAAGGAGGTTTACTGCTCTGCATAGAGTAAAAAGGACAAGATGGGCTTGAGGGCAGGTGGGCCTGCGGTGTGGGAGGAGGAAGCGTCCAGTGGCTTCTTCTGAGGTATGCACACAGAGGCTGGAGGAGAGATGCGGCATCACACGGTCCCTGTGTGTGAGAAGGGGAGCCCCAGAGAGCATGCCAGTCTGGTAGTGGCAGGAAGAGGCCATCTCTGCCCTGTCCTTTTCTCAGCAGAAAAAGGCTCTCCCTTGGCCAGGCTGGTACCAGAGCGGCTAGTGTTCTCAGACCCAGTGCTTGGCAGGCCCCATTCACAGGAAACAATGGGAAAGGGGTAGGATGGAGTGAAAATACCAAATGCGCCGCAGAGCCTAGAGTGGGCTGGAGGCCAGCGAAGCCAGAGGGAATGAAGGGTGAACAAAAGTGGAGCCATAGAGGAGGGGTCTCCTTGAGGTCAAATTCTTGGAGGAGTGACAGCAGCGGAACAATGTGTAGGACAACAGGAAGGAATGGGTAGGTGGAGAGGGCCATTTGAAATGAACTGGAGGGGCTCCTCGCTAAGGACAAGTGCCAGATGTGATGATGAAGACAGCGGCTGGAGACTGAAACTGAGGAGGGAAGGGGCTGAGGAGACACGTGATGGACCACGATGTTCACTAGGGAGCTGGGAAGGAATTGGGAGAGTGATTCAGTGCTCGGGTCCCCATGTGGTGAGTGACAGGCACAGGTGCCTGGAAGCTCAGAGGGCACAAGCTGCTGAAGAGCTAGGACTTTTGAAGGCAGGAGACAGAGAGTCCCAAGCGTCTTACAGACAAACATTTTCTACCATTGGGTTGCTGGCTGACTGAAGCTTCCCAGTGCTGTGCCATAGGCAGAGAGCATGCAGCCTTTACCATAAATAGGCATGATGGTAACTCATGGGACCACATTTACCATCCCCAAAAATGGCACATTCAGTCACTGAAAAAAATGCCACAGATGACTGGGTGGTGGATGGCACTTAGGAGGCAGAGGCAGGTGGATCTCTGTGAGTTCAAGGCCAGCCTGGTCTATAGAGTGAGTTCCAGGACAGCAAGGGATACTTGGAGAAACATTGTGTCAGAGGAAACAATTCCACGTGTATGCTGTTAATGCCCCATCTTACAGATGAAGGAACCGAGGCACAGAGAGGTCAGTGGTGAAGGGAGATGTGTGAATTTAGGCGGGGCACTCTGGAGGCAGAGGATGGGGGTGGGAGTGACTGGGTGCACATGTAGGAACCAGAAAGGTGGGCGGGGCCAGTGTGTGAGGTAGAACATGGGTTAGTGTGCCCTTGAGAACTATCTGTTCATACTTTGATGTAGTAGCTGTGGATGACTTTTGTTTGCTATTAGGTCTCCCCTTTAATGCACAGACACCCCAAATACACTCTGCCACACAGCCATCTAGTTTCACAACAAGACTGTCGCAGGAGTGTGGACCACCTTTCTAATGACAAAAATACCCAGCCTCTATCACTGCAAGCCACCTTCCCTTCTTGGGAGAGAGGCAAAGGGGTCAGACTGCAGGCTGATCACTGATACCTTCCTTCCTGCAGCTGGTACTAGAGCCCCAAAGCTCTTGAATATTCTTCTTGAACCACAGTTCCTGCTGGAGCCTCTTGCTAGTTCCTCTCATCAGAGTTGGGATCTGGCTATCTTTGATGATCACCCTTGCTTCCTCTGAGGCTCTTCTCATGCCATCCACATACTGAAGGCTCTTTCCCACCTCTTTCTAATACTGGGCATTTATTTATGTTTCCCATCACTTTGCCCCAGAAATGCTGGCTTAAGCTGGAAGGCAAACATACAGGCTCAGCCCTGCCTCAGAGCCTTTGATATCCTACTGTGGCCATCATCCCAGGAACTACTTTAGTTTACATGACTATTCCCTGAACACTTGATTGCCTCTCTGCATGTCACTTCTCTCACTAGCATTTCTAACATGCCATTTCTCTTATTTCTTATCTGTCTTCTCCTGAAGTGTTGTATGAGGCAGATGTTTTGGCCATTATGTCTACTATTCTACTTAATGCCCAACTGTGCCTGGTATGTAAGTGCCCCAAACAAATTATCACAGGAAGAACTTTGTCTTGGTTTCTTCTGTAGCAATGTTAATCTTGCTCTTTGGAAGGACATGTCCTTGGAGAAAGCAGAGGAAGTGCGACAGTGTTGGGCGATCCCATCTGTCTTCTTGTGGTCACTTGTTCACTTTATCTTACCCTTCTCAGCCTGGCTCTTTTTCTATTCCTCAGGATATTTTTTGGAGGGGGTGCTCCTGGCATACATGCACCTAATTACAGGAAGCAACATATACTTTTGTGGCCCTTTAATTACCTAATTTGGCTCTTGAATATTCACTTTTTTATTTCATGAGTCTAGCAGGGCACCTGGGCAGCTCTCCTGGACTTTAGATTGTAGTGGGGTGGATAGAGACGAGACACATTGCTATAAGAAAGGAGCTGTCTCAGAGGGGGTAGATGTCAGGAATGTCAAACAGGGGCTGTCTGTAATGACACTCAGGCTGTAGGTTAAGAAGTGACTCTCCAGGACAGGATTGTGGAGAGCTGTGGCAGAGGAGTCTGAAAATAGGAAGGCTCTGACTAGAAAGGCCAGGGTGACTCAGGTGCAGTCTGTAAGAGATAGAGAGGGTGTTGAGAAAATAAAGGGATGGCTGCAGGGGCACTCTGGCTGGAGGGCTGGATTCTGTCTCCTTCACAGTGGGGAGCGTCAGAGGGCTTTAGAACACCTAGAGTGACTTAGGGTTGGGATGGGCCATTCAGGTCACAGGAGGTCATGGTGAGTCTTACTGGACTGCAGGTCATGGGATAGGCTGGCTGGGAGGCAGCTCCACCCCAACTCCAGGCCTGGTCTTCTCTTCCCATCTTTGAAAGCAGGAAGTCTCGCGGGTTTTGTTTTATTGCTAGCATGAAGGCTCTGCTAGGATGTAGGGGATCCAACGCAGAGGGCATAAGGGGTGGAGTCCAAGGAAACTGAAATCTTCTGGTCCCTGCACAACACTGCCACCATGTGGCTTGGAGTCAGACTGCAAGGACAGCATTCAAAAGTAACCCAGTCTTTGTTTTCACCAGGTCTTTAAGTGGACAGGAAGTAACTCTTTCTTCGTGAAAGGAGACCTGGACTCACTGATGATGGGCAGCGGAAGGTGTGTCTGCCCCCCCCCGTCTTGGGGCGGCCTATTTTCCATTCCTTAGGGTGCTGCAGGTGGAAGGGACAAGCTGAGTCTTCCAAGCTGACTTTAGTGCCCTCCAGCATCAGCCCCACAGCCTGTTGGTCCCCAGAGACCCACACTCAACCAACCCTCCTTTAAGTCGAGTGAGGAGAATGCACCAACTGGTTTGTGTCACCTTAGTCTGAACTTCACACTGAAGCACAGTAGGTTGCACCTGAATTAAAGCATCCCTACATTAGCACAGCTCCATGGAGAGGCAGCAGGGTATAGGACACACCAGCCACTTCCTGATTCCAGCCTAGGTTTTCTGTCAAACATGAGGCTTAGAATGTTCCAAAACAGGGTTGAGGTGATGGCTGTACCACTGTCTATAGTTATAAAGCCAATGGATTGTTTTTAAAAATGCTCCAGATGTTATAGAGCACAACATGAGGAGACCCCAATCCTGGATGAGAACAACTACGATGCATATACAATAGTAATGTGGCTAACGCTGCTGATGGTGGTCAGTCCCACAGGCCTGACATGCGCTACAACTGTGACAAGATTTCCTTTTCTGGTGTGTATGTGGGGGTGGGGTGGAAAATGACTGACGTTGACATCAGGTGTGTTCCGTGGTCCATCTCCTATCTTTGGAGGTCTCACACTGACTAGCTAGAATGACTGGCCAGAAAGCTCTGTAACCTACCTGTCTTTACACTCTCTGAGCTGGGGCTGCAGATGGAATGTGGCCTGCCTTTTTTTTTTTTTTAACTTTATCTTATGTGTGTGACGATATCAGAACCCCTGGAACTGGAGTTACAGACAGCTGTGAGCTGCCATGTGGGTGCTGGGAATCGAACCTGGGTCCTCTGGGAGAACAGCCAGTGAGTGCTCTTAACTGTTGAGCCGTCTCTCCGGCCCTGCCTGGCTTTTTATGTTGGTGCTGAGAGCAGGTCCTCACGCTTGTGTAGCAGACACTGTACCAACCGAGTCATCTCTACAGCCCATTTCATCTTCTCTTTAGTGGCCAGTTCGGGCTATGGTTGGATGGAGACTTGTACCACGGGGGAAGCTACCCCTGTGCTACCTTCAACAATGAAGTGCTGGCCCGGCAGGAACAATTTTGTATTGAGGAGCTGGAGGCCTGGACTCTGAGCTGACACCTCCCACGATCAGAGATGCTCGGATCACTTTCGGATGCTGCCCTGGCCTTCCTCACACCGGGCAGCCATTTTGCCTGACTCAGGATGGTGAAGAACCCTCATGTGGACTGCAGCTCTCAGCTGGCCTCTTTGTGGCCAGAAAACACAGGTCAGGCACAGGGGCAGCCACTGTTCTCCAGCAGAGTTGACTGTGAAGGTGTGAAAGACACTCTTACTGAAGAAGCATGACATTTGTCTTTTAGGATTTGATAATTTCTAGAGAACTCAGAAGACCAAACAAATAAACAAAAACCCAAAACAGACAACATCAATAACATAACATTTCCATCCTTCCAAACAAGTAGGGTATGTATACAAGCATGTGCGTGCCCATATCGCGTGTGTGCCCGTACACACACACACACGCTTCAATTTTGTATGTTTTAGAGATTACTTTTACGGGAATGCTCTCAAACCTCAGAAACCTGGGCTCAGCTACTAGAAACTAATAAAGAACAGGAGCATCGTTTCACTCTTTGCCTTGCTGTCTCTTCTAGGAGAGAGTTAGATGCCACCAATGGGTCAGGTGCTCACACATCTGTTACTTGATTTCATGGGAGAGACATAAAAGCTACAAATGAACAATATGTATATTTGGACAAAGAAACCGAACCTTTGCAGACCCCAGGGGCTTGAGACAGCGAAGAGTTCATTTTCAGGCACAAGAGCCTTGTGAACTGAGGCTCCTTCATCTGTCCCATGTAGTGTCTGCCTCCTGCTGGAAGGGAGCAAACTGTATCAATACCAACATCTTGCAGACTCAACATAGTGTTGTGACACCATGAAGCATCTCCATGGGTCCTTTGCACAGGAATTCAAACTAGGCCCACAAGGTGTGAAGAGATGGTAATTAAGGAACATACCTCTGATAGAAGTACATTCACGACAGCTTTATTTGCAGCTGTTTCCATTCCCCAACCGAAGTCAAGCTGACAGCGTTCAGTGACTTAGAGGCCAAGCTGTTAAAAATCTCTATTTGTATGCAGTTTTGTAAACAATACAGGTACTCACAATGAAAAAAAGCTTCAAAGGCATAAAATCTAGCTGTCTTGTGCGTAAAAGGGGTCAGAGACATTTTCTGGATACCACAGTACAAAATTAGGACTACAAAATTCCAGAAAACCACAAGGACTTAAAAATAAGACTGGCAAAAATAAAGCAATAGTAGCAGAAAAACTGACCATTCTTTACGCTGAGGTTGGGCATATAAAGGTGTGAGCCCTGGCTGTCTCCCTGAATGTTACAGAGGCACGTGACTTGCAGGGGGGAAAGCAACTCCCTTGTGCATTTATGAGCCCATAGAGGCAGACACACCAAGTACTCTTTTACCCACAAATAAATAGAACCTGGCTACCCAGAGGGGAGAGGTGGCACAGGCATACTCAATATACTCAAGCTGCTCACTGCCAGGGCTGCCACCTCACTTAGGGGAGTCATCTGCAGCTGCTGCCTCTGGCCCCATGGCCCATGCCTCCAGCATCTCTGGCTGCTATCCCCTTTGGTTCTTGGTGAAGCTGTGCACAGTGTGGGTGGGGGAGCAGCATGGGTGACTACTCGACCATGATGGTCTGTTCTGCTAGGAATAGCAGGCTACATGGGGGAGCATGTGACCCACTGGGTGGCCACTAGGCTCACAAACGTAGTCCCGAATATTCTGAAACCCGTAAACACAATGAAGTAGCGGTGGTGACATCCCAGGTGCGAGCAGTCAGGACGGGGTCTGTGGTGGTCTCTGAACAGTTGACTGGTCCAACTCCGAGGAGGTGGAAGAAGGTTCCCAGGCTGGCAGTGGTGTGTCCCCTGGGACTGGAATGGCTTCAGGTGCAAAGAAGCTGAGCTTGTCGGGGGCCACAGCAGACTCAGAGAGCAGCCTGGTGTGAGGTGCCCTCTGACACTAGCAGCTCCTACAGCAGGGGCAGGAGGGTTATATTAGGAGACAGGGCTGGAGCGGCAGGACACTGGTAGACTTGCCTGGCGCACCTCAACTCCTCTCAAAGAGCTGCCCCCTGATGTTCCCCAGACTGGCACTTAACAGGGATGGAGGGGGTTGGCAGCTTTCTCTCCTTGGGAGAAGCAGGGTGAGGGGCACCTCTTCAGGGGGGCTACGATTTTTTTTTCACCATGTGGTGTATGACAATTTCAACTTTGAATTCCAATTTGTGCCCTTGGTCTCAACTTCTAAATTAAAAACAAAAGAGAATCATTTGTCCCAAGAGTTCAGAAGAAATGGGAGTTATCCTGAAAAAATAGGTTGCTAAAGGAGAAAGGTTTCAATTAACGTTAAAAATGCACAAGCTCATACTTTTCGTAGCATGTGTCTTAGTCACTGTTCTCTTGCTGTCAAGACACACCATGACCAAGGCAATGCTTATAAAAGAAAGCAGTTAATTGGGGCTGGCTTACAGCTTTAGGGGTTAGTCCACTGTCATCACAGTGGGGAGCATGGTGCTGGAGCAGCAGCTGAGAGCTACATCCTGACCCACAAACAGAGAAAGAGAGAAACCTCAAAGGCCACTCCCAGTGACACACTTCCTCCAGGAAGGCCACACCTCCTGATCCTTGTAATCCTTTCAAACAGTGTCACTCTCTGTATATGAGCTTATAGGGCCATTCTCTTTCAAACTCCACAGTAAGCATAGCAAACTTTTGCTACTATTACCATTTTGTGTTTTGAGTAAAAATGACTTACCCCTCATTATGTGTGTACATTCAAAATACTAAATAAAAATCACTAGTGGACTCTGATTATATTTCCTAACTTAATTGTGAAGAGGGGAAGAGGTTTTCATAAAGAACCAATTGCAGGCATCCACTTAAAATTTTAGGGATACTTTGGCTTTGGATGTTTCTTGGCAATAACGTGGAACTTCTTCCTGCCATTTCATAGGTGTTATAAGTGGGGCTATGATGTCACCATCCTATTAAAGAGAGAGAGACAGTCAGGGTATAGAGAAAAGCCAGTTTCCATCATTGTATTTTGGGGTGCGTCGCAGGCACACATACCCTCATCCTGTACACAGATTTTTTGAGAAATTCAAAGTTGTATATGCTCTACTATTGAGAACATGACAGGCCTAAGCAGATAAAGGTGTTCAGAGAAAACGGCTGAAACACAGCACACGGCTGCCCAGAGTTGGCTGAGTTCACACTCCTCTGCGGGACTCTTACAGAAAGAAGCTACACTGGGTTCTTGTCTCTCTTTTTCCCCAACTCCTCTAAAACAAATGACCCAGGTCTGCAAATGGGGGAGAACAAGGAGGGGGACAGGGAGTATGGGGACAAATGACAACTGGGACATTGGGACCATGACTACTTGCTGAATTTGAATCTCTTTAAATAAATCTCTTAACTTTGGCCCTATCAACAAAGATCCAGCCAAATGCACCCTTCTACCTTAAGGGGAGGCTGCCTCAGATTACAGTGACCTGACAGGAGGGAGCATGAGCAGCGGGGCTCCTAACCCTGCCCGCCTCCTGGGACAAGGCTCTCTGTCCATTTACTCTCAGGTACTTATCATCCCTTCGTGCTTTGCCCGGCAGAGCAGCTGCTCTTCCCAGAGGCCTTTGCTAGCCCTCATGCTTAGTGGCTTCTCAGGTGAGGTAAGGAAGGCAGAGAAGCCTGGGCATCTCCTGCGGTCATTACCATTGTGTGGCTCCAGCTCCTGGAAGGAGCTCTTGACCTCCCACCTGCCCCCTCAGCCTCTCTGAGAAGGCAGTGACACCGTCCAGGCATCATCTCAGTCTGCCACACGTTCACTTAGCTCTACCGAAACTTTGGAAACATCCGATGTTAAACGTCTTCTGCTGAATGCACTGGATCTGGCTTGACAGAACTTTTGTGAGTTACTATTGTTCATTTCAAAGGCAGCAGTATTCAAACTCCTATTTCCATCACCCTTCCTTCTGACTTCAACTCTAGCAAATGTTAAAAATGCACACCTAAGAGATTTCACTCTCTCCAGTTCAGTGGTTCCAGGCTGCCCCTTGCATCCTGGGTGGCAGAAAATATCTCACACTCAGTGCTGTCCCTGAAAGGCCTTCTGTTCCTTGCTACCTTTTCAGCTACCCCCATGTTGCTTCTGTCCCAACACCTCCCTGCCACTGCCAGCCCTGTAAAAACCGCTGAGTTTTCTCCTCCTTCAGGAGTTGGCTTGCAAGCTTTCCTCTGGCAGGCTTTTCTCATCTAACCAAGTCTGGTTAGATCTCCTTCTGCACCCCAAAACACTATGCTACATAATTGCTGTTTACTTTAGTGTTTGTGGTCCACATCTAGACTGAGACCTAGAGCACTGAGGAACTATGTCTGTCTTAGGTACTGCTTCATCCTTGTACCTAATGCAGGGCCTGATAAGAAACAAACCAAGCCAGCTCATCTGATGAGTTAATATACCTAGGTTTAAGGTATTTATCACATATGCCAGTGTTTTTATTTCCCTTTTCCTTAAAACAAACAAACAAGAAACTATGTGTATGTATATGGTGTGTGTGGTGTATATGTGGTGTGTGTGTATGTGTACTGTGTGTGATATATGTGTATTGTAGGAATGTATGTGGTATATATGTGTGGTATGTTTGTATGTGTATGGTGCATGGATATGTGTGTTATGTGTGATATATGTGTATTGTATGAGGTATGCATGCTTGGTGTGTGTGTGATGCATGTGTATGTGTTTGGTATGTATGTACATCATATATATGTATGCATGTGTACTGTGCATGTGCAGCAGGCACATGTAGAAGCCAGAGGGTAACATTGGGTGCCTTCCTTAATCACTTCTCTACCATTTTCAGATTTTCCTCCTACATTTTTTATTTCATGTGTATGCACGCATGTCTATGCACCATTCGTGAGACCAGAAGAGGGTTACAGCTGGTTGTGAGCTGCCATGTGGGTGCTGGGAATTGAGCCTGGGTCTTCTAAAAGAGCAGCCAGTGTTCTTAACTGCTGAGCCATCTCTCCAGCCCCATTTAGCTACAATTTAAATGAGAACTACTCAGTGATAAAAAGGGTTGGTTTTGGATTTTCCTTAAAAATCAAAGAATATGCCAGGCTCCTGTGCTGCTGCGTACCTGTAATCCCCATACTTGGGAGGCCAAGGAGGAGGATCAGGAATTCAAGGCCATTCTTAGGTACACAGAAAATCTGAGACCAATCTGAGCTACATAGGACCCTGTCTCATCCCAACTCCCAGATTCCATTCTCTTAATGTTTGAGGATATGAAGAGTCACCCACCTGTGGCTTGGTGAAGTTTCTGTCTGCACACCATTGGGTGAAATGTTGCCTAGCAGCGTGCAGGCTCTTCTTGTCTGTCTTCTTACAGTACACGCGAATGAGCTGCTCTGTGAATTTCTGTGGCAGAAGCTTTGACACCTTTTTTTACAAAAAGAAAAGATCTTGCTTGAGTTTACACTTCCAGGAACCAGCTGCCTCCCAGGGTCTGGGGTACCATTTTTAATGTTAAGTTAAAAACACTGCATTGTTTTTCTATTTTATCCAAATTATAATACAAGGGGGAAAATAATTATTTACTGCAAAATGCCTCAGAATTTTACATTAATTACTAGAAGACTGAAAGAGTTACAGGACACAACCATGCACAGACCACAGACTCTCATATAAGATATGCAGACAGGCACATTTAGCTTATATAATTAATTTTAACCACCTGACCCACTAGATTTTGCACCCAAAGCTTCAAACCAAACACTGCATTGAGCTACATCACCAGCTCTCTGTTTCTACCCTGCCTTCCTATTTTGAGGCAAGGTATCTTATTAGGTTGCCCAGGCTGGTCCTGAATTCACTTCATAGTAATGGCAAGTCTTGAACCTGTGATCCTGCAGCTTCAGCTTCAGGCTTCTGGGATTAAAGGCTTACACTACTACATCCAGATATCCATGTATCTATTTATATCTACTTTTTTTTTTTTTTTGAGAAAGGGTCTCACTATATAGTTAGCCCAGGTGGCCTGAAACTCACCATACAGACCAGGCTGCCTCAGAATCACAAAGATCCACCCAACTCTGCCTCTGGAGCGCTGATATTAGAGGTGTGTGCCACTGGGCCCAGTTAGATACAGATATTTTAAATTGTTGTTTTGCTTTATTTTGAGACAGAGTCTCATGTACCCCAGGCTGGCCTTTTAACTCCTGATCCTTTTGCATCTCCTTTGCTTCCTGAATTTGGGACTACAAATATGCATTAGTATACATGGCTTATGCTTTACTTTAAAAAATATTAGATTTATTAATTTTATTTTATATGTGTATATATGTATGCATACACACATGCACATGCTAAGAATCAAACTGGTGTCCTCTGCAAGAGCTACAAGTGCTCTTAATCACTGAGCCATCTCTCTATCTCTCTAGGCCTGCCTTCTCTCTCTCTCTCTCTCTCTTTTTTTTTTTTTTTCGAGACAGGGTTTCTCTGTATTGTTTTAGAGTCTGTCCTGGAACTCGCTCGGTAGACCAGGCTTGGTCTTGAACTCACAGAGATTCACCTGCCTCTGCCTCCCGAGTGCTGGGATTAAAGGTGTGCGCCACCACCGCCCAGCCTCTCTCTTTCTTTTTAATTGGAAATAATTTTTCTCTCAGAGAATACATCCTGATCACAGTTTCTCCTCTCTCCAGTCTTCCCAGCTTCCCCAACCTCCCCTTTCTCCTGAATCTACACCCCTCCATTTCCCATCAGAAAAGAGCAGGCCTCAAAGAGACAATGACTAAACATGAAAAAACAAAATAAAAACAAACAAGGCAAAAGCCCTCATACGAAGGTTGGACAAGGCAACTCAACAGGAGGAAGAGGGTCTCAAGAACAGGCAAAAGAGTCAGAGATGCATCCACTCCTACAGTAAGGAGTCCTACACAAAGACCAAGCTAACAGCCATAACATATATGCAGAGACCTGCTGCATACTCCTGCAGGCCCTGTGGCTGCTGCTTCAGTCTCTGTGAGTCCCTGCTTAGTTGATTCAGTGGGCTGTGCCTTCTTTTATTTCTTAATAGTAGACAATGACTTTACAACCTGACTGGCATGTACAATATAAGTTGACTTTAAGACTTGCCAAATATATACCTTAGAGTAGAATTCTGCTTAGCCAGTTACCTGATCTTTAGTGATCTTGACTGCATGCTTCGTGTTATTTTTAAAGTAGAAATGAACGTGGTCAATTGGATTCTTGTCTTTCATCCCATAATCCATGACGATAACCTTAATTAAAACAATAAATAAATAATTGCATAACAACATAAGAACTGAACTCAGGATTGTAAGTACATCACAAGAAATGAACTGAGCTCTCTGGGTGTCCAGAAGTAGGAATATTAGGAAGTTGTAATGTGGAATAAAAATAACTCTGGTACACCATGTGGTAATGGCGCACGCCTTTAATCCCAGCACTTGGGAGGCAGAGTTAGGTGGATCTCTGTGAGTTTGAAGCCAGCCTGGTCTACAGAGTGAGTTCCAGGACAGTTAGGGCTACAGAGAAACGAAACAAAACAAAACAAAAACAAAACCCAAAAAAACTCAGGTACATGACTAGCTTTGGGGACTTGGTTTAGAAACTTGGGTGGAGGGGGAAGTATCTACCATGTGATAGACACCAGTAGGCAGTAGGTAATCAACTTTTGTGTGTTATGGGTATGTCTAAAAGGAGGTCAGATGTCAACTTTGGCAGTCATTCTTCAGGTGCCGTGTACTTTTTCCCCTTGACACAGGGCCTCACTGGCTTGGAGCTCACCAAGTCACTTAGGCTGTAGGTCAATGCACCCCAGGGATCCAGTTGTCTTTGCCTCCCTTGCTGTGGCCTGACAAGCATGTATCCCCATGCTCTGTGTGTGTGTGTGTGTGTGTGTGTGTGTGTGTGTGTGTGTGTCTGTGTCTGTGTCTGTGTGCTGGGGAGTGAACTTAGGGCCTAGAGAATGGTAGGCGGGCTGGAGAGATGGCTCAGTCATTAAAGGCTAGGCTCACAACCAAAAATAAAAGAGAATGGTAGGCAAGTGCTCTACCACTGAGCCAAATTCCCAGCTATAGATTCTGTAACATTTTATATTTCAGGTTTCAGATTTTGGATAAGGGGTGTTTTTACATATACCTGGAGAAAAACATAAGAATTCAGAAGGCCTTTGCATGAGTTTGCCCCCCAAGAAGAGGAAAGGGAGCAAGATGAGTATAGTGTGGTGGTTTTCTTCAGAGAGAAGACTGTCTAACTGGTGCTAATGGGAAAGTCTGTAGGAGGAAGGACAGAATGGGCAGTGAAGGGCTCTTCAGAGAGATGAACACACAATGGGCTCCAAAGCTGCAATGCTAAGTGTGGTGGTCACTAACCACATATGGTTTATTTTTTTATTTTTACTTATTATGCAAGTACCACTCTGCTGTCCAGTTCAGGTGACCCTTCTGACTATCTCAGTTTCTCATGTAGCTGGGAATACATTAACATACTACCATATTCAGCAATAACTTAAAATTTAAATCAATTAACATAGAATACAAAAATTATTTCTTAGTCTTAGGAATCATATTTAAAAGGGCAGCACAGATACAGGCCTTTGGGTGAGTGCAGGAGGTTCCACTGGGCACTACTATTCTAAACACAGCAGGAAGAACATCCCTCCTGGGTCTCTCTTGGCTTTTTGAGACAAGGTTCTCTGTGTAGCCCTGGCTGTCCTGGAACTTGTCCTGTAGTTCAGGCTGGTCTTGAACTCACAGAGCTTCACTTGCCTATGCCTTCCAAGTGCTGGGATTAAAGGCATGTACTACCACTACCTGGATGAGCCTCCTTTAAAAAACAAAAAAACAATAACAACAACAAAAAAGAAAACAAAGCAAAACACAGGGTCTCACACTATATAGAATAGGCTGGCCTCAAACTCACAGAGATCCACCTGCCTCTGCCTCCTGAGTGCTGGGATTAAAGGCGTGTGCCACCATACCTGACCTGGCCAATTCTTTAATTAGGAGAAAGATATTTCTCTACTCTAAATAAGGGAAGATGAAAACAGCTACAGGTGGGAGAAAACTGAAGTTTGGGAGATTACCTAAGCAATGGCCTATAAGTATCTTTTATTTTTATTATCTGAACATGGGGCCATGTTGGGCTATTCACTAAGGGTGAATGTCTAGGATTGGTAAGCAGGGATGAAGGACTGAATAGAGTAAAGATGGTTTGACATAGTTGTTATGGAGCCTGGGAGAATTGTACTCAACCTGCTAGAAAGTACAGAGGATCCAGATAAAGTTGGTGCCTAAGAATGCAGTGTAGTGATGTCTCTAACAGGATTTGTGTGGCCAGGTATAGGTAGGGAGGAGGTTAGCATCAACACACCTAGGCTATTTGGACTTTTGCTTAACAGATGCAAAAGGTGAGGGGTTGGTGGTAACTGCAGAAATGATGGAATTATTAATAATGACCATAAAATCCAAGTTTGACTAAAAAGAAACAAAGGTAGGACAGGCTATAGCTATAAGAAAGTGAGGAGCCAATAGGGCATCCAGATGAGCTGAACTAGGGACAAGGACTAGGGACTCTCTCTCTCTGTCTCTCTCTCTCCCTTCCTTCTTTCCTTTCTCCCTCCTTCCCCCCTTCCTTCCTTCTTTCCTTTCTCTCCCCCCCCCCGCCCCCTTTCAAGACAGGGTTTCTCTGTGTAGCTTTGGAGCCTGTGCTGACACTCTGTAGACCAGGCTGGCCTCAAACTAACAGAGATCTGCCTGTCTCTGCCTCCCAAGTACTGGGATTAAAGGAGTGTAACGCCACTTCCTGGCTTAGTTTTTTTTTTCAAGACATGGTTTCTCTGGGTAGTCCTGGCTGTCCTGGAACTCACTCTGTAGACCAGGCTGGCCTCAAACTCAAGAGATCCGCCTGCTTCTGCCTCCTGAGTGTTGGAATTAAAGGTGTGCGCCACCACTGCCAGGCTTGTGATGGTTAATTTTCATTCACATGACTGGATTTGGAATTGCCTAGCAGACACACATCTGGGCCCAGCTGTGATAGTGTGTCCAGAAAGGGTTAACTGAGGAGAGAACACCCACCCTGAATATGGGCAGCAGCATCCTATGGGCCAGGGTCCTGAACTGAATAAAAACAGGAGGAGGAAGGGGGCTGAATACCAGCACTAATCTGTGTCTGTTTCCTACTGTGAACACAGCTGCCTCACAGTCCTATTGCCCTCCCCCGCCCCAAGATCAATTCAAACTGTGAACACAAAATAAACCTGTCCTGCCTTAAGTTGCTTTGTCACATTTCCTCATATCAATGAGAAAAGCAACTAACACAGCCACTAAGAATAAAAATAAAGAGGGGATAGAGAGATGGCTCAGCAGTTAAAAACAGTAGCTGCTCTTCCAAAGAATCCAGGTTTAATTCCCAGCACCCACAGGGCAGTTTACAACTATCTAATTCCAGTTCCAGGGGATCTGGCATCCTCAGACAGATGTACATGCAGGCAAAACCCTAATGCATATAAAATAAATAAATAAATCTTTAAAAAAAAGGAAAGGAAGAAAGAAAGAGGGATCAAAGAGTTTCTCCTGGTGGACAAAAAAAAAGTCTCTCAGGATAATGGTAGGAACCAGAGCAGAGGGGATTGAATGGTACCAAAAGCTTTCAGCGGATAGCATCTAGTTTGAACATAGAGATGATCTCTATAGAACAAATTCCTAGGGTAAAATTGATGAGTCAATTACAATTTCAGAATGAACTTCGAATTTGCCCTCGTGTACTAATTTACACTTCTGTGTGTTCATGTAGGTTTATGAACACAGAATTGTATACACTCTTTGCTCTTTAAGGCTGATGTAAACCAGCCCACTGCTGCATCCCACTGACTTTTCTTGATTACTGGTTAATCTGGCTTTAAGGTCTGCTACAGGTAGCATCATGTACCTCTGATCTAAATGCATTTGGAGATGGCTCTTTGGGTGAGAGAAGTCAGATAGGAGAGTGAGAGATTGCCCCCATACCTCAGAACAAGACAGGCCTTCTGCTGAAACAGGAGAGCCAGGGTGGGCATGCTGGCCCACAGGTGCTCAGGGAGAATGCTGGGAAGTGATGTCTTTCCAAGTCTCAGGGAGTTCAGGAGAGCTTTGCTCCCTGGGCCATTCACTGTATTTGGCAAAGGATGGCTATGGCTTTTCATGCAAGAACTTGTCACCAAGAAAATGAGAAAAGAGAAGCTGAGGTAAAATCACAAGGTAAGCACTGTGAGATTTCAGAGGAATGGAGCACTGAAGAGAATTTCCTACAGAGAACTGAAAAAAACAAGAGAAGGCTACAGGGCTTTTCATTATGGTATACCAAGATACTATGGCCACGTGAAAATAGGAATAAAAAAATCTGTTCTTGCTGGGCGTTGGTGGCGCACGCCTTTAATCCCAGCACTTGGGAGGCAGAGGCAGGCGGATCTCTGTGAGTTCGAGGCCAGTCTGGTCTACAGAGCAAGTTCAGGACAGCCTCCAAAGCCACAGAGAAACCCTGTCTCGAAAAACCAAAAAAAAAAAAAAAAAAAAAAATCTGTTCTTGCCTACATATACACACTGTTCTGTGTATATATGCAGGCAAGCAAAAACATCTAATTGGTAGTATTTTTTTTTTTTGGCTTTTTGAGACAGGGTTTCTCTGTAGCTTTGGAGTCTGTCCTAGAACTTGCTCTGTAGAGCAGGCTAGCCTCGAATTCACAGAGAGCCGCCTGCCTCTGCTTCTCGAGTGCTGGGATCAAAGGTGTGTGCCATCAACTCCCGGCTTAGTAGTATTTTTATAGTCAAAATAATTCAAATCAACATATACAATGTGCTATTTATCACATGATCTCAATATCCTGGCAGAACATCGCAAAGAAAATTGAAAAGGGCTGATAATATTGATTTTCTCTCTGAGGCCAAAGATGATTCTCTTCCTTCTAACTTTCTGTGTCTCCAAGTTTTGGGTTTTTTGAAGACATATTTTTAAAATTAAGTGCATGAATGTGTGTCTGTATGCATGAAGGCATCAGAGGAGGACAGTGGATCCTGGAGCTAGAGTTACAGGTGGTTTTGAGTCACCTGACATGGTTGCTGGTAACTGACCTTCCTGGTCCTCTGGAAGAGCAGAAAGTTCTTAACTGCTGAGCTATCTCTCCAGCTTCTTTGTTGTTCTGTTTGTTTGTTTTGAGACAGGTTCTCACTATGTAGTATTAGCTCACTGTGTAGACCAAGCTGGCCTCAAATGTGTGTTTCTTCTGCCTCTATTTCCTGAGTTTTAAGATTTCAACAGTACATCACCACTTCCTCCTCTCCAAGTTTTTCACAATGAAGTAAGTTTTTTTTGTTTTGTTGTTTTTGTTTTGTGTTTTGAGACTGGGTCTCTCTACATGGTCCTAGCTTTCCTGGAACTTACTACATAGACCAGGATGGCCTTGAACTCACAGATCTGCCTATCTCTGCCTCCTGAGTGCTGGGATTAAAGGCCACCACCCTCAGAGGGAAGGCTTTCTGTTTTTTTTTTTTTTAAACACAAATTTTCACTTAATCTATTCTTGGGCTCACTAACTTACATCCACTATGAAATCCTCGGCCTTCAGTTGGGCATCCAGGTGCATGTCAGGTTTGGTGTCAACAATGTCTTGGGGAAGCTGACCATATTCTTCCTAGGAGAGATGAGACTTCCCAGTTAGGACTCAGTTTTTCATTAAGTACGTGTACCACGGTCATGCTCTTCTTCACCAAGAAAAACAGAGATACCCCAACAAAACATGCTAATCTGGAAACAAACTGGGTAGTTTTCATTAAAAACAAACAAACGAACAAAAGCAACCACCACAGTTTGGAAAGAATATGGCATCCATCTATTCATAGCGACCTCCTGCTGCTTTTGCAGTGACTAGTGCTGCCAGCCGCCCCTGTGACATTATCTCACATCTCACCAGTAAGCTGCACACAGCAGCAAGCTCATCTTTCCCAATCCTTCTGTATTTTTGGCCACATATAAATCAAATAGCACATAAAAGCCATGGAATTTATGATGCTGGTGGTTTCTGGGCAATGACAGACTGTGAGTAATTATATTTCTGGAGAGTCAAAAGTTAAAGTCAGGTTTTTTGTTTGTTTTTGTTTTTTGGTTTTTCGAGACAGGGTTTCTCTGTATTGTTTTGGAGGCTGTCCCGGAACTTGCTCTGTAGACCAGGCTGGCCTCGAACTCACAGAGATCCGCCTGCCTCTGCCTCTGCCTCCCGAGTGCTGGGTTAGGTCAGTTTTTAAATGTTCTATGTCAAGTGCCCCTAACCATCATTGTTCAAGGGTCAACTATAGATAAAATGGGCTCTCAGAGTCTTAGCAAGTTCGCACAGGTCTTATTTTGAGGGATTTTCCCTTAGATATATTTCCCCGTACTTGGATCTATCCCAACCTTGAGGCCCTTATTGAATGTGAGAGCGAATATTTATAGTTGCTTAGACCTGTCTTTGAATCCTATCTGACTGCCTTCATGAGCAATTTATTATCATTGCCCAGCCTCAGTTTCTCACCTGGTAAACAGGCCCAAGAATATTGTGAAGATTAAATGAGAATATACAGGAAGCATGGTTACTGCGATAGACTCATGGCTTCTTACTGAGGACAGAGACTGGGATAACCCTCTGCTAGCAGCAGGATAGCTGATGACTCCACTTACCTTTTTAATCTTGACTTGACCATTTGGCTGGGTCTCACCCAAATACTTGTATAGATTACGGCATTCGATGTTCCTTAAAATTTCTCGTGCCTCAGACAACCTTGGATCAGTAGAGTGTAAAATCTCCAGGAAAATGTTATCTGTCAATGTGATGAAATTCACTCACATTAGAACAACAGTAGGATTTAAAGGCACTCCACTGTGGTCCTGGAATGGTCTTAACAAGGCATTATGACTGTGTGAGTAAAAACAAAGATGCCAGTAAGAGGAAAAGGCAAGTTCTGAAGTGGGAAAACCCTCCCCTGTGTGAGACGAACCAAGAGCGCAGAAGAAAGGAGGGCTTGACCTGGGGCAGGCAGTACGCAGAGACTTACTCATCATTGTTGGGCTTTCATGTTTGTAAATGAGACAAGGTGTTGCTAGTTAGCCCTAAATGGCCTTAAACATTTACAAACAGAATCATATCTATGATCTACCTAGAATAGCCCAATGTTTGTCAGCAGGAGGTAGGTGGAAAAAATTGCTGCGTGTTATTAACAGTTGAAGCTAAGTGGCGAGTACCTGGAATTTTATAAACTGACTTATTAAAAGCTTTTTTTTTAAGTTTTAAAATATTTTTATTCTATGATGATAACAGAAAGGAAAAAACTTTCTTCTTTTGTCTTTTTTCTGTTTTCTTTAAAAATTTTCCAATTAAGGGCTGGAGAGGGATGTCAGGTCCACTGGAACAGATGTGAGCTGCCATGTGGGTGCTGGGGATTGAACCCAGGTCCTCTGGCAGAGCAGTCAGTGCTCTTAAACCGATGAATTATCTATCTAGCCCTTGCTTTCATTTTTTTGAGTGACGACTTCACTCTTACGGTGGTTTGAGCTCACTATATAACTCAGATTGGTCTCACCATTCATCCTCCTAATTGTGAGATGCTGTATCTGGCTGTGTATATACAATTTTCTGATGAAACATTATATTACGGTATCTACTTCCCAAGAACAAAAACACCTTTTTAAACATAAACATAAAGAAATTTAACAGTGATTTTTAAAAAAAGTTTCTTACTTGTCTCGATAATGTAATTTAAGGATTTTCATTACTGGTAATAGGGAAATCAAACAAATATATGGATAAAATTAGTGGTCACACACTTTTAGTCTTTTAAAATCTAGAACTAGCTGGGTGGTGGTGGAGCACACCTTTAATCCCAGCACTTGGGAGACAGGCAAATCGATCTCTGTAAGTTTGAGGCCAGCCTGGTCTACAAAGCAAGTTCCAGTTCAAGCTCCAAAAGCTACACAGAAAAGCCCTGTGTCACACACACAAAAAATAAATAAAATATAAAACTAGAATAACTACTCTCGTCTTCCAGGATGTTGACCTTCAGAACAAATCAGGGAGCCATGACAACTAGTGTTAAGTCTGATTGGACGATTAAGCCTGGACTATTATAGCCTGGCGTTGGTGGCGCACGCCTTTAATCCCAGCACTTGGGAGGCAGAGGCAGGCGGATCTCTGTGAGTTCGAGGCCAGCCTGGTCTACAAAGTGAGTTCCAGGACAGCCTCCAAAGCTACAGAGAAACCCTGTCTTGAAAAACCAAAAAAAAAGATTTCTCTATTATAAATTTTTTTGGGGTGTGGTACTGTGAACTGGCACCAGGCCTCACCCCCACTCCTGTCTATCAGGACAGCGTGTTGGGTTTGAGACTGTATGCTAACCAATAATCTTTCGGTCACTGGGGCTCAATGATGACAAAGTTTGGTTTTTTTTTTAGTATTAATGAGTTGTATTAAATAACAATAAGTATACAAGAGGTATTTAAGCATTTCCTACACACTACACTTACCTTAAAAATGATTGTTTTGTAATTTGCACATGTATGCACTTGCTTCTCATTATCTTATCTATCCCAGCAAGGGCAGGTGACATCTGACACCGATAGGTGTGTCCCGAGTTCTTACCTGTTAGCTTGGTGAAGGCTTCCATGTCATCAATGGCTGTAGAAATACGACACTTATTCCCATTGGTCCCCAGAATCTCTATGTAGGGGTCAGCTTTGAGGAAGGCCTCTGTGATCCTATAGGTCATTTTATAAACACACAAGGACATTCAAAGATTCACTTTATACCTTGCTCAAAAGGATCTTTACAGTTTAAGAAAACAAAATCTTGAGGTATGATGTTCAAAGACAGCTGTTTATTAATATCTTTGTAATAACGCGATTGTAGAGCTTTATAAAACTTATCTCATTTGGTTTTTCAACACTAAGTATATTCAGTTCCAATTTTATAGAAGCAGAAATAGGATAAATTTCCTTTAAACAAGTTCAGAAAAACTTTGAAATAAAGGCTCTCTGACTCTGAAATGGAAACAAAATTACTTTAGTTCTTTTTTCTTGAGAGGCGGTCTCATGTAGCTCAGGGTAAACATGCTACATACCTGAGAATGACCTTGAACTCTGTCTCTACCTCCCAAGTGCCATTGAAGTCATCTGCCACCATATTCAGCTTTATATCTTTCTGTTTGTTTGGTTTTTGCTTTTTGCGACTGGGTTTTTCTATACAGCCCTAGCTGTCCTGGAACTCACTATGTTCCAGGCTGGTTTTGAACTTGCAGAGATTCACCTGCCTCTGCAGTTCTTAGTCTGGGATTAAAGGGGTGCGACACCATATCTGGCTATACCTAACTTTTGACTGAGGTGAACACTCTTATGGAACCAAATGTGGTGGTTCATGACTGTGATCCCAGCATCTTGGAGGCAGAAGCTAGAGAATCAGAATTTGAGGCCAATTTGGGCTATATAATGAGTTCCAGATCTGCCAAGGCTGTATGTAAGTATGAGATCCTGTCTCAAAAACAAAGAAAGGAAACTTCTCATGGGGTCTCTGAGACATGTGGAGACTTTGTGTACTTTTTGGCTATCGTTCTGTCCAGATCAGGGAAAAAGATAAAATTTCTATTTGCTACTAACTTTGAAAAACACTTGACAGGATAAAGGCAGAAATTAGTATAAATATTAATTTTGTTTTTAATTTTGAATGTCAGCCATGAATAATAGCTGTATGTAACTTCCTGCACAGGGACCCCGAGCCATTCTGGCAGCTTCTTCATGTCTAGCCTAAGCCAGCTCCTCTTTCTCCACATGCCTGACCATCACATCTGCACTCCTCCTCCTCCTCCTCCTCCTGAGGTCACTGTGTGCTAGCTTCTTTGTTTTTTTGTTTGTTTGTTTATTTGGTTTTGTTTTTTGTTTTTCTAGAAAAGGTTTCTCTGTATTGCTTTAGAGCCTGCCTTGGCACTGACTATAGAAACCAGGCTGGCCTCTAACTCACAGAGATCCGCCTGCTTCTGCCTCCTGAGTGCTGGGATTAAAGGCGTGCGCCACCAACGCCCGGCTATGCTGGTCTTCTTTTAAGGGAGCCGCTTTAGACTGCACAGCTTGAGCTGAGAACACTAACATAGCAAAGTATCATGCAAACTTTTATGAGTTCTTACATTATATCGATGAGGTTGCTGATTTTATGTTGATAAGCTCTGCGGTGTAAGCAGTTGCGTGTGTGGAACATGTCATACAGATTCCCAACCTCCTGCAAGGGAACAGAAATGGTAATGTAGGATCAGATTGTGTTCAACTTTGTTAGAGACAGGGTTTCACTGTGTAGCCCTGGTTGTCCTGGAACTCATTATGTAGACCAGGCTGGTCTTGAACTCATAGATATCCATCTGCCTCTGCCTCCTGAATGCTGGGATTAAAGGGCTAGCATACATAAAGACTTTCCTATAGCATAATTCTATACCACTTTTTAAGTTATATGAGTATCATTGTGGTGGTAAGAAAGAAAATGACCCCCAAAGGGAGTGGCAATATTAGCAGGTGTGGCTTTGTTGGAGGAAGTGTGTCACTGTGGGGGCTGGGCTTTGAGGACTCATATATGCTCAAGCCATACCCAGTGTTGCAGACCACTTCTTGTTGCCTACAAGATGTAGGACTCTCAGCTACCTCCCCAGCACCATGTCTGCCTGTGCACCACCATGTCCCATCATGATGATAATAGACTGGACCTCTGAAATATAAATGAGCCATCACAATTAAGTACTTTGCTTTATAAGAGTTGCTGTGGTCATGGTGTCTTTTCATAGCAATAGAAGGACCTAATGGGGTTGAAGTTCTAGTTTTCTTACTTATTTAGCTTCCGGTATGGGTGACACACTGCCCCATGCACGGTGAAAGCCAGAAGTGCAAACAAGGAAGGTGCTAAAGAGCAGGGCAGTGCCAGACTGGCTTTATAACAGCCTGCTCTTCCCACAAACTAATCTAGTCATTTCATGAGATCGGAGCCCTGATAACTTAATCACCTCTTAAAGGGCCTCCCTCTCTCACCACCATTACTTTAGAGACTGAACTTTGATGTGACTTTTGGTGGGACAAGCCGTACTTTACTATTTAACTAGTGATCAAAGTGAGATGAGCTACTACCATGTTCCTCTAGAACTATGAACTGGATAAACCTCTTTCCTTTATGAATTACACAGGTTCAGGTATTCTGTTATAGTAACAGAACACAGACTGAAACATAAAATAATAATAGTACTATCTCATAGGGTGATAAAGATTGAGTTGATCTACGAAAAGCATTTAAAGCCTACCGAGTATAAGACTCTAAAAATGTTGGATTTATTATTGTTGTTATTATTTAAAAATGTAATAGGATGACAAAAAGTCTTATGACATTTAACAAATGCTAAGCATTAAGAAGGGATTGAAGGACTAGAGAGATGCCTTAGCAGTTAAGAGTCTGTGCTACTCTTGCAGAGGGCCTGAGTCTGGCTCCTAGCACCCATGTTGGGTACATCAAGATGCCTATAACTCCAGCTCCAGGGATATGATACCTTCTTCTGGCATCTAGGGGAACCTGCACCCATGTGCACATACGCACACACAGACACATATACACATGATTAAAAAAATAATTTTTTTAAAAGACAAGTTTGTGGGGCTATAGAGATGTCACAGGTTAAAAGAATGCTTGCTGTACAATCATGAGGACCTGAGTTCAGGTCCCAGCATCTATGTAATAAGCTGGGTGTGGTCTTCTGTGCACCTGCAACCCCAATATGGTGATATTTTGTTTATGATCTAACAAATAAAGCTTACCTGAAGATCAAAGTGCAAAACTAGCCACACTAGTCAGCCATACAGGCTGGGCAGTGGTGGCACACACCTTTAATTCCAGAAGCCACACTAGTTAGCCATAGAAGCTGGGCAATGGTGATGCATGTCTATAATCCCAGCACTAGAAAGGAATATAAGGCAGGTGGAGACAGGAGTTCAGTGTATTCAGTCTGTAGACGCACTGAGGACAGGATTGCCCCAGCCTTGGTAGAAGTAAGAACTCTCAAATGCTTTACTTTTTTGATCTTCAGCTTGAAATCCATTATCTCCCTGGGTTTTTATTATTTGTGCTACACCCCAGTGCCGGAGGATGGCTAATAAAAATCATGAGCACAAGGGGTAGGGAGAGATCTTGACGTAAAGGGATAAGGCAGACAGTGACAAAGGAGGGCAGCCTCTGTGTGCATGAATTCACACAGGTGTGCACAGCAAACACAAACACACAGTCCACACATACACATGCATACAACCTAAAAAAAATTCAAAAGAGAGAAAAGAAAGGAGGGAGGAAATGAAAGAAAATAAAGATGGCTTCTGGATCTTTCCAAATGGCTGAATGATTATTTCTAGACATCAGACCAGGAGCTGCACTCTATTTCTGAGGATGTAACTTACCTTTTCTCTAGTACAAATGTGCTTCATTTTATAGCCATTGGTTGTGTCTTCCACGTCACAGATCCGGACAAACTTAACAAACCGCTTGTAATCAAAATTGTTTTGGATTCCAAGATGGTGACAGTCCCTAGGAAGTTCCAAAGCAGAGATATGACACATTTCAACAAGGAAACTGCCTTAAATACAAGCACATTTCTTTCTTTTTAATTCTGAATCAGCTTGCAGAAGGCTGACCAGGGACTGAAGAATATACTAAAGGACACAAAGAGGTATAACTAGCTAAGTGAGTCAGTGGGAAGAACGTGAAGGGAGCTGCTACAGAAGAAAAAACTGGAGAGCCATCACCAGGTGCAGTGTGTAGACAGTGGATTATGAATTGCACATGCTAACAATAATAAGGCAGTTATGAAGTATGAATCCTGACCACATATTATTACCTTAGCCAGGAGTGGTGGAGCACACCTTTAATCCCAGAACTCGGGAGACAGAGGCAGAAGGATCTCTGAGTTTGAGACTGGCCTGTTCTACACTGTGAGTTCCAGGACAACCAGGATTATAAAGTAAGACTCTGTCTCAAAAACAAACAAACAAACAAATCTTAAAACAATTGCCGAGTGTTTTTAGGTTTACCAGAGACACTTTATTTATAGATCCACACTGAAACATTTCATGAAGAGATGCTATGTTGCCTGAGATCTGCTTTAAAATAATGTGAGATCACCTAGGAGGCAGAGGTAGGCATATCTCCATGAGCTTGAGGCCAGACTGATGTACACAGAGAGACATTGTCTCAAAAAAGTATTCAAAGTGTAGAATAAACAAAGTAAGACTGGTCATATGAGGCAGAGAATGGTGTCCCATGCCTTTAATCCTGGAACGTGGGAGACAGATGCAGGCAGATCTGTATGAATCTGAGGACATACTGGTCTATGCAGTGAGTTCCAGGCCAGCCAAGCTATGTGGTGAGACCCTGTCTCAACAAACAATATTGGTCTATGCAGTGAGTTCCAGGCCAGCCAAGCTATGTGGTGAGACCCTGTCTCAACAAACAAACAAAGGATTGAGCGTGTACTGACATTCACAGCAAGTCGAGGAATGAGCACCTGGAAGGCACTCATGCTGTCCTCACTTTCTACCAAAATCCTTCAGTACATTGAAGATCAAAGCCTTGATTGTGAACAAGTAAACAGAGAGAAAAAGGGAATTTTTCCCACTTCAAAAGGAGACTGTCTTCTACCCTGACTCAGCTTGACAGCTAACCAGAGCCCAACAGGAAGTCCAGAAGAGTAAGTGATTGTGATGCAGGACAAGGGGCAGGAAGGAACCCAGCACACTCTGAAAGACCTGAAGTAATCAGGCTGAATACCCCGTGACGTCCCGAGCTCAATAACCAGACAGTTGGATGCAAACTGCAAGAGGTTTATTGTTCACACATGCATCTGCGAACACTCCAGCAGCCTTAGCTGCGGGCTTTAGAACAGTTTTCTGTTTATGTACATAATTTTTGCAAGCAAAGCAATAGGGGTATTGTAAAAAGCGGAGCCTGAAGTAATCAGGCTGAATACCCCATGACATCCTGAGCTCAATAACCAGACAGTTGGATGCAAACTACAAGGTTTATTGTTCACACACGCATCTGCAGGCACTCCGGCAGCCTTAGCCCCGGGCTTTAGGACAGTTTTCTTTTTATGTACATAATTTTGGCAAGCAAAGCAATAGGGGTATTGTAAAAAGCGGAGCCACTGCAGGTGCAGATCTGGGCAAGCAATAGGGGTATTGTAAGAAGTGCAGGCATAACTCATCCTTCCTGGAGAAACCACAAGGTCAAAATTAAGCTTATCTTAACAGCCTGCCGGTGTCCTGCATCAGCACTCTGGACCAGATGTTCTTTTCAATTTGACCTTGTTCCCTGTCTAGGGGAAGGGACCTTGGGGAATTTTCCACTGAGGCAACCTTCTGAGTCTCAAAGGGGGGGGGGGGAGGGTTTCAACTCAAGGTGACGGGAAGGGCTGTTTCACTTCTAGGTGCTGCAAAGCTAGTGTTTCAGCCACGATAGGACTGCAGTGCCCAACTTCTAATTAGCCAGGTGGGTCCTAATGCTACATTTATATAAAGATTTTAGCAATGTTTCTGAAGACATTCAGTGCATACCTGGCAAAATAATCCCATTTGTCCACATCAATGCCATTTCTTTTGTTAGCCACTATCTCATAAAGGAAGCTCTTCTCAGCAGGACGTCCTTTATATGGCCACTGGAAAACAAGAGAATCCTGGGAAGGTTTAGATAGACACAGACCTATTTATAAGCAAAGCAACTGTATCTATCTGCAAATTACAAACAAGACACTGAGTTAGAATGCTGATCTTTCTTTCTCCTCACTTCTAATGAAGTAGGAAGGAAAAAGAGATGCTGAAGTAGCCAAGCGTTGGTGGTGCATGCCTTTGATCCTAGGAGGCAGAGGCAGGTGGAAATCTGTGAGTTGGATACCAGCCTGGTCTAATTCAAGGACAGCCTTCAAAGACACAGAGGGACCCTGTCTTGGAAAACAAACAAACAAAAAAACAAAAAACAAAAAAAAAAAGAAAAGAAATGCTGAAGTATATGCTATCCCATTAATACCAAGTCTTCCAGCTGGGGATGTTGTTCTGTGGTACAGTACATGCATGTATGAGGGCCTGGGCCAGCACCACAAAAATAAACGAATAAATACAAAGTCTATAAAGGGCAGGTGGAATGACTTAGCAAGTAAAGGCTTTTGCTGTCACCAGACCACCTGAATCCTATCCCAGGACCCACATGGTAGTCCACAGGTAGGTAGGGGTGTGTATGTGTGTGTGTGTGTGTGTGTGTGTGTGTGTGTGTGTGTGTGTGTAAATGTTTGTAAATAGATAGATAAAAAGTGCAACTTAAAATTTTTACAACTATTTAAGTAAGTGGGAAAACATTAAACCTTCCAGTGCCATTGAAAGGATACTACTAATAAATTTCCTAAAACCAACAATATTTTAATTTTCTTGATTTTAAAAGCTTTTAAAAATTATATTTAATTACAAACTAGTAAAAAAATGTTCCTTAAATGGTAAACCTTGAATTCACATATTAAAATAATAATGTCTCTCACTGGGTATGGCAACACATACCTGTACCCTTAGCACTTGGGAGGTTGAGGCAGGAGGATTGTGACTTCAAAGGTAGCATGGGCTACAGTGCAAGATGCCCCCCCACCAGGAAAAAGCAAAAACAATCTCTCCTTCTGTAAACATATGTGTGTATGTATGCATCTATGTATGTATGCATACACTACTATATTTCTCTCCTTTTTGTTGTTGTTTTTTTGAGACATGGTTTCTTTGTGTAGCCCTGGCTATCCTGGAACTCACTATGTAGAATACGCTGGCCTTAAACTCAGAAATCTGCTTGCCTTTGCCCCTGAGAGCTGGGATTTAGGGCATGTGCCACCATACTCAACTTTCTTTCCAGTTTGTTTGTTTGTTTGTTTTTTGACAGAGTCTTAGGTAACCCACTCATCTTGAATTTACTGTTTTGGAGAGGACAACTTAACTTGTGTTACTCCTGCTTCCACCCCTCTAGTAACAGACTTCAATAACCATGTACCACCACACCTGTGTTACATATTACTATGCTTCAAAATAGCTACACAGCTACTCTAAATACAAACCACTCAAAGTATTTTTGAAGCTAAACTTTTGTTTCTAAATGAGATAGTTGCTCATCAATCTACTTCATGTATGTGAGTGTGTATGCATATGTATGTGTTTGTGTGTACACATGTGTACACACATACACATAGTGACCAAAGGTCAACGTTGAATGTCATCTTCTGCCTCTCAGTGTTGAAGTTAGAATTCTGTGTCCAGCCATGCTTTTTTTGTTAGGTTTTTGAGACAGGGTTCTATGTAACAGTCCTGGCTGTCCTGGAACTTGCTTTGTAGTCCAGGTTGGCCTCGAACTCACTGAGATCCACCTGCCTCTGCCTCCCAAATGCTGGGATTAAAGGTGTGCAACACCGCCAGGAGCTTTTTAAAAATTGTTGTTGTTGTATGCTGTGTTGTTGTTGTACACTATAAATATGCATTACTCTCATTGGTTAATGAAGAGATGACTAACCCTATAGCTGGACAGGAACAGATTGGGCAGGAGAGCCAGACTAGGAGGATGCTGGGAAGAAGAAGAAGGGTGGAGTCTAAGGGTCATGAAAGATATAGGATGAACTTGCCATGGTGAAAGAAGGTACCACTGCATGGCACAGGATAGATACAAAATATGGGTTAACTTAAGTTGTAAGAGCTAGTTAGTAACCATCATAAGCTACTGACCAAGCATTTTTAATCAATAATAAGTCTCCATGTTGTAAATTGGGAACTGGCTGGTAGGAAAGAAAAGTCTACCTATAGTTGTGTTGTTTTGTTTATTTGAGAAAGGGTCCCATTATAAAGGGCTGGCTGGCCTGGACTCTCTGGAGACCACGTTGGCCTCTGCCCCATAAGTGCTAGAATTAAAAGTGTGTGTTACTCAGCTTGGCTTTTTACAGGGGTGCTAGGGATCTGAACTCAGATACTCATACTTGTATAGCAAGTACTCTTACCTACTGAGACATCCCTCCAGCCCATGATGTATACTTTTGCATTTGATCCTACGGCTTCTGCATACCAAGTACTGATGTTGCAGATATAAACTATCATTTGGGGGAAATAATGTCTATAGAACTCAAGATGAGGGAAAAAAATACATCCTTTTTTGTTTTTGCATTAGAAAGCAGATGCATATAAGTTGTATTTTGATGCTTAGCACCCCTACAATAGCCAAATACGTATGTAGCTCTGAAAGAATCAAGACTAGACTAGATGGAAAGTACCAGCTGGCTCTAATGAACAGAATTAAAAACTTACCGAGCAGTCCTTGACTGGAGTTTCAAGTGGTCCCATAATTTGTTCCTTGATAAACTCAATATCTTCTTTAGGGTTGAGCCCATAGTTTTTCATGATGGGTTCGAGGTTATTAGAATCAACCAGATGCTCAAACATCTTAACTGATCCCTGTTCATGCTGCGAAAGTCAATATAACACAGCCTGTTACAGATTCTCTAATTAAATAGATTATTCTGGATTCTAGGTAATTCTCAGATAAGTCCCACTGAGTGTTAATTACTGAGTTCCCAACTACAATGTTACAGCTTAAAAATAGTCAATTTTTGTTAACATTTTATTTGTTTACAAAACATTTTCAGTTGGCTGGTTGGTTGTTTTGAAACAGGGTCTTACTATATAGCTCTGGTTGGCAAGGAACTTGCTATGGAGACCAGGCTGGCCTTGCACTCATAGAGATCTGCCTGCCTCTGCTTCCTGAATACTGGCATTAAAGGTATGACCCACCATGCCCAGTCACAAGATAACTTTTGTTAGTTTTTAAAATGGGCATACAAAGGAATAAGTTTCACTGTAGCATTTTCGCATATACTTCATTTTATTAATCCCCTTCCCCTAATCTATAAAACTTTCATAAACCATGTTTATTATTTCATAAATAAATACAAAAAATTTTATGAAATATAACCACTTATATTACCAAAAAGAATATTACCAAATCATATAGGTAGAATGAATATCACTCGGGAATTTAGGTTTTTCTTTTTCCACCCACAGAGGACATTTGAAGTTAAAAGCTGTTGGTTGTTATTTCCAGCTTGTGGTGGACAAGGGTATTGGCAACATTGCCAGTACAATCAAGTGTCTTCCAGCTCTGGTGTCAAGATCTGGATTAAATTCTCAAATCTGGTTGTTTGTGTCTCTGCTCACTCTTTCACCATCACTATAAAGAGCATATGATCCCCGGATTCAAAATGAAAACAAACCTAGAATGATCCTAGAATTGCTATGAATTGACTCAAACAGAATTAATGATAACTTTGCTATCTTGATTATTCATTGTTTGTTTTGGGTAAATTCTCATTATATAACCCACATTGACATGAACTCACTATATAGCCTTAACTAGCCTGGAACTTGCCACTGTCTCCTTGTGGCCTCTGGAATAATTACAGTAGAATGCTGTTTCACACTGCATGAATTCACATAAATAATCACTGTTGTAAGTACAAAAAACTTTAATATGTCCAAGCAGAGGACCTGGGTTTGGTTCTCAGCACCAACATAATGGCTCACAACCATCTATTAACTTCAGCTCCAAGGAATTCAGTGCCCTCTTCTCACCTCTGGGGGCACCAGGCATGCATGTGGTGCACATATATTTGCAGACAGGCAACAATCACATACAAAATAAAAATAAAAAATTTTTTAAAACCTGTGAAATAGAATCTAGGAAGATTCATCATATATGGGAATTTTTTTAAATGTTGGAAACCTAGATCTGTGAGAAAAGGATGAACTGTTATTCAACAAACAGTTATCCATTAGGTTGATGCGATCACTTAGGGGTAGGGTGCTTGCTTAGCATGCTTGACAATCTTAGTTCAACTCCCAAAACTGCAGAGAAATAAAACAAAACAAGTACCTCTGCAAATAAAGGAAAGATATTATATTTATATTATTTGTATATAAGAATTAATTCCAAATGAGCTAAAATATTAAATGAAAAAGGCAAAGATATTTTTTAATATAACTTAGTGGTATAGCACTTACACCACACACATGCAGAATGCACATATAAACAACACATTTAGAGACACACACAGCACACCCACAACACACATAGAAACACACACAGCATACACATACAACCCCATACTCACACACAGCACACACACAGAGACTCACACACAGAACATACACAGCACACAGACATAGATACAGATATAGATACATACAGACAGACAGACACACACACACACACACAGATCCTAGATCCTATTAGATCAATCTTGCTGGAGATAAAAAAAAAACTACACTCTGGACAACTAACTTCCTGACTGTATTGGACACAAGCCAAAAGCAAGCAGATGTTAAAGGAAAGTCCACAGTAAGATGAGAGGGCAGAGCACTAACTTGCAATTGTATGGCTTTCATCCAGAGAGCAGGCCCCACAGCACTAACTGATGGGAAACTATGCAATTTACTGGCTTAAAGGAGACTATAAAATGTCTTTTTCAAAAGACGCCATTAAAAACAGAAGTGGCAAGTCAAATACTAACAGAAAATATTCCTAATACCTATAAAACAATAACTGCTTATATAAATTCTTACAAATCAATGCTAAGTGGGAAAATGACAAAAATTCTTTTGTATGTGTGTGCCTGTGGAGATGAGATGACCTCAGCTATCATTCCTTAGGTGCTGTCCACCTTATGTTTTTGGTATAGCGTCTCCTGTTGGTCTCAAAATCTCCAAGCAGGCCAGACTGGCTGGGCAGCAAGTCCCAGGAACCTGCCAGGCTCTGCCTCCCTACCATCAGGCTTACAAACACACATACTCCATACTCCACCCCCCCCCACACACACACTTTTTTTTTTCCGAGACAGGGTTTCTCTGTGGCTTTGGAGGCTGTCCTGGAACTCGCTCTGTAGACCAGGCTGGTCTTGAACTCACAGAGATCCACCTGCCTCTGCCTCCCGAGTGCTGGGATTAAAGGTGTGCGCCACCAAAGCCCGGCCACACACACTTTTTAACGAAGGCTTTGGGGACCAAACTCAGGTATTCAGCAACTTACAAACTGAGCTATCTCCCAGGGTCAAAATCCCCCTCCCTACCTTACCGTATTGAAGTGTTGGGATCAAACCTAAAGATGCAGCTACATGGCAAATGATCTCCTACTAAGCAGCTCTTAGTCCACTAATCAGCTTTTTAAATGGGTAAAACATTAGAACAGTGGGCCGGGCATTGGTGGCACACACCTTTAATCCCAGTACTCAGGAGGCAGAGGCAGGTGGATCTCTGTGGGTTCAAGGCCAGCATGGTCTACAGAGTGAGTTCCAGGACAGGCTCCAAAGCAATACAGAGACACCTTGTCTTGAAAAAACAAAACAAAACAAAAAACTCCCAAGAAACCAAAACCAAAACCAAACTTTACAACAGTGGTTCTTAACCTGTGAGTCATGGCCTTTTTGGGGGTCAAACAACCCTTTCATGGGAGTCGCCTAAGACCATTGGAAAACACAGATATTTGCATTATGATTCATAACAGTAGTAAAATTACAGTTATGAGGTAGCAATGAAAATAATTTTATGGTTGGGGGCCATATTAAATACATGGGGAACTGTATTAAAGTGTTGCAGCATTAGGAAGATTGAAAACTGTAGTGGCATCTTGTCTACTAGTAGACTTGGGGTGACCACACCTTGGGGCATGGCTTCAGGTGTGGTCACCACCCCAAGTCCACTGGCAGAACAAGATGCCATTATAGAGAACCACTGTATTAGAGTAACTCTACACACACACACACACACACACACACACAAACCACAAAGTGCAAATAACAGGAAATCATACTTGTAATAGGTTAGAGAATGCTAATGAAACTGAGATACCATTTCATAATCAGGTGAGGTAATCTAAAAGGTGAAATATTGGGAATGGGGTATATAACATGATGACAGGGTGTTTGCTCAGCATGTACAAGGCTCTGGGTTCTATCTTTAGCAGTATACACAGATAATAAATAAAAGTTAATTAGTTTAATTAAAGATGATAAGGTGAGGTTGTAGACTGGCATCTGGAATTTTCACACTCTGTTGGTGAGTGTAAAATTGAACAAACACACTGGAAAACCAGTAGGTGTTTATAATGTTAAATGAACACCTGCCATATGAGAGCATATTTCCACAAAACTGCTGTAGAACAATACACACAGCAACCTTGGATGTAGTAGCCCAAATCCAAAACAACCTAAAGCTCATCAAAAGGAGAAAGGACAAAGTATGGTTGACACACTAGACACAACCTTAGCAGTAAAAAGTCATCAGCTACATTCAACAGGACGAAGGAGTGTTCACTTCTGATTGTACTGACAAAACTGGGGATCAAATCTAAAGACTCGGCTACTTGGCAAGTGATCTCCCACTAAGCGGCCTTCTAGCCCACTATCAACTGTTTAAATGGGCAAAACATTAAGAGGAAGTCATATCACACACACACACACACACACACTGCACATGCGATAACAAAACCACATAGTGCAAACAACAGGAAATCCTATTTACAACAGATTAGAGAACACAAATGAAACTGAGATACCAAGTCAAAGAAAAGACAGACTAATCTATGTTCATGAAAATCAGAAGTGATGGAGGAGAACTGATTTTTAAAAGACTTGAAGGAGGGGCTGGACTGTGGCAGTGGTATATACTTAGTATGTTCGGTGCTGTGGGTTGATCCTTAGTACCACAGAAAAAAAGGCAAGGCATAAGGGAATTTTCTAAATGATGAAAATGTTCTACATCCTGGCTTCATGTGTACACTTGTCAATCTCCTGTCAGCTTTATACAATTTTTTTTGGTTTTTCGAGACAGGATTTCTCTGTGGCTTTGGAGGCTGTCCTGGAACTTGCTCTTGTAGACCAGGCTGGTCTGGAACTCACAGAGATTCGCCTGCCTCTGCCTCCCAAGTGCTGGGATTAAAGGCGTGCGCCACCAACGCCTGGCCCCTGTAAATTATATTTTTAAAAAAGGGCAGGTACATGTTGTTTGGTTAACTATCACCTCTTCTAGATTAGGGGTGTCTCTTGTTCAAATCTAACTTTTATCAATTTTATGGTATCTGTAGCTTTTCTTCTTCTGTGGAAACAAAAGTAAAACCTCCTCTCCCCAATGTAACACATGTTCTGGTTTCCATTCTGAGGTCAGCTCATCTTTAATGTATACAGGCTGATTTAATTCCGTAGTTTTTCTGTTATCCAATGTCCCTCCACAGCTGTCATTCCTTTCTCATTAACATCCAGAAAATTCAAAGTTAATAAAGCATTATGCAAATAATGTGTTTGGGAGGCTAAGGCAGGACAGTGTTCAAAGTCATTTGTAGTTGATATATTATAATTTGTTAAAGTTTGCCTGAGGATTCAGAAAGCAAAGTCAGCCACAAGCCATAGAAGCCAGGCACACACCTTTTGGTGTGCCTTTGCCTTGACTGTTGACAGCATGCTGTTCAAAGTGGACAAACAGGGCACAAAAGAGAGTGACTGCAGAACCTTGCCAAGACAAGGTGGAACAGTCCTTCAAAATTCTTCTTCACAGAAAAGTCAGTCAGAAATGCTAGGCCTATAAGCCAAAGATAGATTCCCCAATGTTGCAGAGGAACCTTGGATAACTGTCCAGGTAGCAAACTGTTTTTGCCATTTCTCATAATTTTTGGAAGTCTTTTGCTTGCACTTCTGCTTACTCAGTTAATAATATTTTCTTCTTGGGTCTCTGAGAGAGTTGAAGACTAGATAGTATAATTACAGTTTTCCCTGTTTACCAGACTCAGAAAAGAAACTCACTAAAGATGTATAAAGTGCAAAAGGTTGAGAGACATTAAAAGATAATTTGATAATGCAAATTAGAATGGAAAGTAAATTAGGTACAAGACTTTGGACTCACCAAGATAGGATAGATAATGAAGTATTTTCTCTGAATTTGTCAAATACAAATGGACAAAATATTTTCTCTGAATTTGTCAAATGCAAAAGGACTAAACATTGTTGATGAAATTATATATATATGTATACATATTATATATACTTATTGTACTTACTGTATATAGTTTTCCTTATATTAAATGTAGCTTTTTTATATTAGACAAAAAAGGGGAATTGTAGTGAAATATTATTTATGATTTATTAAAGCTTGCCTGAGAATTTGGAAAGCAAAGTCAGCCATAAGCCACAGAAGCCAGGCACACACCTTTAATCCCAGCAGCCAGAAGCTAGGAGGAGGTGGTACACACCTTTAATCCTAGGATTCAGCATTAAGAGGTAAAAATATGTCTCTGAGTTCAAGGCCATCCAGGGATACACGAGATTGAATCAGTCTAAAAGAGTAACAGAGCCCATGCCTTTAATCCCAGCATCAGGGAGATATATGAAACAGGAGCAAGGACTCAGTATCAGGCATTCATTCTCCAGCCACATTGCAGATAGAGGCATTCATTCTCCAGACACAGTGATAGGAAGACATTCAGTCTCAGGATTCTTCAGCCACACTAAGGAGAAGCAGCAGGATCAGCCTGTTCAGCCTGAGATAATGGTAAGAGCTAGTGGCCCACTACTTTGCTCTTTTTGTTCTTCAGCTTGAAGTTTGAACACCAATATCATGCTACAGTCACTCTCAACTACAGAGGAAAACTCTGTGTTAAAAACACAAGTCCATTTACTAAAAATGGTGATACTTAACTTCATGGCTAGACCAAAACAAACACTGAAGTTGGGCTTTAAAAATAAACTGTACAAGCCGGGCAGTGGTGGCGCACGCCTTTAATCCCAGCACTCGGGAGGCAGAGACAGGCAGATCTCTGTGAGTTCGAGGCCAGGCTGGACCGACAGCCCCCAAAACAATACAGAGAAACCCTGTCTCGTAAAAACCCAAACCAAAACCAAACAAAACAAAAAAACCTGTACAGTAATGCCACAGAGTAGAAAGAGCACTGCACTGGTGGCTGGGAAGCTAGTTTTCTAGGGCTGGTCCATTACTCCACACACAGCTCTCTGAAGTGGGCATGTCACTATGCTTTGGAAAGTGAACGGAGGTGAGGGTCCTTTCTCCATGGATTACAGTTAGGATCGAATGAAACAGACTTATGTGGATGGAAGCACCCTGAACACTGTCCCAGGGAAGGATGCTAGAACCCAGACAGGAACAACAGATAATTCAATTGGATAACTAGATACAATTCTTTTTCTTTCTATTGACTATGGAACAGATGAATACATACCTTCCACCTGTTACCTGGGCAAGCACGTGGGATAAATCTTCCATCAAACATATGAGAAAATGGCCCATGACCTAAAAACAAAAGCAGCTTTCAAATAAGAAAAATATTTGTAAATTGGTAAAAACTGAATTCTTAAAAATCTTTAGTTTATTTTGAATATCAACAGCCACTGTTAATAATCCATATCCATATATATATATATATATATATATATATGTATATATGAACAAATCTGCCCTTTCAGTTTCCAAAACAACAGAAAAAGGTGCAAAAGCATAGTGGAAAGCTAACTCTCCTTAGCTCAGTCTCCAGTTTTGTATTAGCTACCAGGACACTTGAGAATTGCTTGTGAAAAAAAAAAAAGCTTTACTGATTTAGGGCTGGGCTGCAGTTCAGTAGAAGAGCACACACAGGTCTGAGTCGGGTAACTGAAACCAAACCCAAAAAGCATACAAGAACCAACTGTCTTCTAAGAAGGAACCGAGGCTACTGAAATCTCCAGGCTGACAGAAAGGCAGTAGCACTCTGCTCCTTCGGTATCTGCCCAAGGAGACACAAGCACACTCTCTCCTGTAACTAAAGACAGTTGGGGCAGGCACCTTCTTCTTTTAAATGAAGAGGATGATATTCTTCTACTTGAATTTAATTGGCCTAAGATCCTTTGTGAGTTAGGGAAGAAAAAACATTTGTTAAACCCGTTCTAGCTGTGAGAAGGGATGGACTTAACAAAGGAACTAAAGGGAAAAGCGATTTTAGTCATTGAGAATGATAAACAAAAAGTCATGTTCTCATTATCCTAAAGACAGGGTAAGAAAAACTCACTGTGAGAAATAGCTGTGCAGCAGCATGCTTGTAATCTTAGCGCTCAGGAGGTAGAAGCAGGAATATCATCTAGAGTGTGAGGCTATCCTGGGCTATATACAGTGAGTTCTAGGACAGCTTGGGTTACAGAGTAAGAACACTGCCTCATAAATCAATCAATCAATAAATAAACAAATAAACAAACAATAAATAATGAATAATGCCTTTCATGTGACATAGCAAAGATGCTTAATAAAGAAAATTCACATGTAATAACAATGTTTTGTCCTTATCAATAATATTAGGAACCACGGTGTACTGTGATTAATGAAAAATTAAAATACTCCCACATCTCCCTTGGTTAGACTGAGTTTTGAATGTGAAGCAGAGGTGAGACAGTAGGGTGATAGCTTTGTGTGAGCTTACCAAGGTCATGGCAGAGCCCAGCAATCTGAACACAGAGCATATCTCGCTCACTGATCTGTAGCTCTGGCTGTTTTTCTGCGAGTGCTCGAACGAGGTAGCCTGCTAGGTACCCAACCCTGCAGAGAAAAAGATCAAAAGTCACGCTTTGGTTTGAAAGATGTACCTTTGGAACTTGAAACTTTGAGTTCTGAAAATTGGCTCTGTGATGTTTCCACACAGACTGGATATATGGGTTTAGCAGAGCTGAGGATGTGGTTTTATAGAACACCTGACTAGCATGTAAAAGACCCTAGGCTTAATCCCCAGCAAAGCGAACAAAAAACAAAATAATAAATGGCATAACAAGCGTTAAATGCACTTTCAGTACTTCTCTCTGAAAGGAAGTCCTAAAAAATATATCCTTTCCTCTGCCCTCAACTCAGCTCTAGGAAGGTAGCAACTTGTGAGTGGCTTGGAAATTATATGTTTATAATTCGAGCACAGGTACATTTATCTTGACTGTTGGGCTTGGACACAGTGGAACACACCTGTAACTCTGGCATTTGGGAGACTAAGGATTAGGAGTTTGAAGCCAGTCAAGGCTGTATAATGAAACCCTACAGGAAACAAAAGGAAGCAAGAAAGAAAAAACAAAAACCATAATGTTAATAAAAAAACCAAATACCTAATTCCCAATTATTCTCTGCATACTTCTCCCAGATCTACATGAACAATGGAAAAGCATATAACAGAGATGACCCTCTCAGAGCTCATAAGCATCTTTCAAACTTATATATTTCTTGACACATTTTGTTTAAAAGGGTGAATCTACACAACTAAACAGGAGCTAGGCATGATGGAGTGTGTCCAGAATCTCTATTCTCAGGAGATGAGGCGGGAGGACAATGAATTAAGGTCATCCTGAGATCCCCTGGGAGCCCCTGTCTCAGAAGAAAAGCAATGAAAAGACTAAAAAGGGACTAAAGGGAAAACTAATAAAATGTATAGTTAGTTATGCCAGCAGCCAATCCTATTCAATTTAAGTATTTACAGACAAATATTTAATCCAATTGACCTGTCGAAAGACATTAGGTTTCAGGAGGATATGAGGTCATTTCAATTTTCTCATTAATAAAATAAAGATGTTACAATGACCATTTGAAAAAGTACTCTCTAAGAGATTAAATGAGACTATTTCATGAGAGAGAAGGGGTAAAAACTGCATGTTCCCCAAGCCTTTCCCTTCTTACCCCAGACTGTGTTCAAATCGATTGTGTGAAGCTCCTGGGAAAACATAGTAGCCGCTTCCCAGCTGTTTGATGTATCGAAGCCTTTGAAACTGAGGTGTGTCAATGATTCGGATAAGGAGAGGGTGGAACTCAATATGGCCATGAATAGGATCATTGAATACCTGGAAAATTATGTTCACAAAGTTGTCCTCTGACCTCTATATGCCCATACTGGCACACACAGTCCCTCCATCACACATACATAGAAACAAGAAAGACAATTTTAAAAACTACCTTTAACAGTTAATACCATAATACAATTTCCTTCTTATATCAAAATGAACAGTGAACATTTTATATTTTAGTTAATCATTTTAATAACTCAATTTCATTAACAAACAGCTAAAATTTTTAAAATTTGACATTCTATTTTTTTATGAGCATTTGCCTATCTATGTCTGTGTACCATGTGGGCTTGGAGAATATTGACTTTTTTTCATCCTGCTCTGTAAAAGTCACTTGATGGTTATCATAAACTACACCAAGGTTATCTCTAATAACACTCAGGAAGAGAAGAACCAAGAATATAAAAATTAAATTCCCTAGGCAGCCTTACTATACATAAGACCAAGTTCAGTGATCTCTAAATAGCGAATCATAAGCAAACATGCCTCCTAACGTAAGGTCAACCTAACCATCACAAACAAGTGAGAACACACACACACACACACACACACACACACACACACACACACACACACACACACTTTTTTTTTGAGACAGAGTTTCTCTGTGTAGTCCTGGATGTCCTAGAACTCACTCTGCAGACCGGGGTGGACTCTAACTCAGAGATCTGCCTGTCTCTTCCTCCCAAATGTTTCGATTAAAGGAGTGTGTCCACACTACCTAGTGAGAATGTATTTTATTACTAAAGGTTGTCAAAGAACTTATATAACCCACTTTTAATCCAACTAATTCTAAAATGCCTGTACTGTCAATTTCTCAAGTGGTAACACATGTCCATAATAAATTTATTTCATCCTAAAACCATTAAAAACAAAATAAATTTAAGTATTTTTCAAAAATGAACTCAGTGAAAAGTATCTTTTGGGATGGTGAGGTGGTTGGGCAGATAAAAGCATCTGCTGTGCAAGCAATGGCAACCTGAGTTGGGTCCCCAGCACACACAGCAGAAAGAGAAAACGGACTCCAGGGAGTTGTCCTCTGCCCTCCACATGCCCACACTGGCATGCATGCCCCTCCATCGCACATACACAGAAACAATACAGTTTTATACTTTACTCTTAACTGTTAATACCATAACACATACACAGCCTCCTTTTAATATCAAAATGAACAGTGAACACTTTATACTTTTAGATAATAATCATTTTAATGGCTGTATCTCATTAATGAAGTTAAAATTTAAAAAATTAAGATTATACTTATTTATTTTATGAATGTTTGCTGGATTGCATGTTTGTGCACGGTGTGTGTGCAGTGCCTGTGGAGGACAGAAGAGGGCATCAGATCTCCTACAACTAGCTACAGTTGTGAACCACATGTGTGATGAGAATATACTTTAAGAGTGGCCAGTGTTGCTGCAGCTTTATAGTTCCCTTAACATCTATTTGTTATTTACTCTGTAGGGGAGTGTGTGTGTGTGTGTGTGTGTGTGTGTGTGTGTGTGTGGTGGCAAGTACCCTAATCTATTGAGCTATCTCATATACCCTGATGACCATTAAAAAAAAATTCCTTTAATGTTGAGCATTAAGAGATTAGAAATTCTATCACATAATTTCACATTCTCTTCCTAACTATTAGTGAATATATGTGATATTTAAGTATTTTGGTGTTTTTTTTGTTGTTTTTTGTTTTTTGTTTTTTTTGAGATAGGGTTTCTCTGTGTGTAGCCATTGACTGTCCTGGAACTTGCTCTGTAGATCAGGCTGACCTCAAACTCGCAGAGATCTGCTTATCTCTGCCTCCTAAGTGCCAGCACTAAAGGAGTGTGCTACCACCACCCAGCTTTTGATCACTATTTTATAACCACTACACTTGGGCCATGATACTTTATACACTCTCACACACACACACACTAACACACACACTAAATGGTATCATAAATCAAAGTTGTAAGCTATAGTATCTTTTGATCCAATATCACTTATATAAAATAAATGCTGTTTATACACTCTGATTCCTTTTACCTTCATTAGCTCTACATGAGATTGACTCAGTTCTTGGATACATGCAATCATCTTCTTCCTCTCCTCCAAGGAACTAAAATTGAAACAGCGTAAGTAAATATATCAGTACTTGATTAATAATAATTCCAGGAGTATTGGTAGCATATGGCCCGCTCTATAGTATCTGCACCAGTAAAAAGAAACAATGGATTAAAAGGAAAGTCAATACCAAACATACTCCTAGAAACTTTCTTTGCTCCCATAAGAAGTGTTAGGTCACAAGGCAAGCCCCAAAATGGGGAACACTGCTGACAATGTCCTATCCAGGCCAGATTCTTACCAGGTAAACATAAGCTCAACTCTAAATTCCTCAGAAACCTCATAATGCAGTTTCTGTCTGTCAGGAAAGCCTCCACTTCCCTCCCCTGGTGCTGATGGTCAACTGATGGGGGGAAGTGTATCTGGTTTCCATTTGTTTGTTTATTTATTTATTCATTATTTTTGGTTTTTCGAGACAGGGTTTCTCTGTATTGCTTTGGACGCTGTCCTGGAACTCGCTCTGTAGACCAGGCTGGTCTTGAACTCACAGAGATCCACCTGACTCTGCCTTCCCGAGTACTGGGATTAAAGATGTGTACCACCATCACCTGGCTACTAGTTCCCATTTAACCTGAACAGCCTGCATTAGTTCAGATTCCCACCCTGCTGACAGTCACATAAAGTCCACCTGCCTTCCCACCAGCTGCTGCTCTGTACTCTGAGGCAGCCCAGCACTTTGTCCCACAATAAACTCTTTTCCTACCTATGGAGTGGTCTAGTTTGGTGTTTTGCTGCACTTGTTTACAAGAAGTTCCTGGTGAGCCAAGGGGACCCACCTGGGCTCCTGCTCTTGAGACTTATCTCTCTCAGATTTCAAAATCTCTCCCACCTCTACTGAAAGCTCACTTCATATTTCAAATCTATTTTTTAACCAAACTGAAGTCAACATATACTTCACAATCTTAGACTGATAGATTAATGCCAGGTGTGACTCAAGCATGACCTAGTATCTATGAAGGCTTTAGCTTTGTACTTCATCTTCCACTATCTATAATGCTCCAGCTGGGGATATAATCACATGGGAACTGTATTTGAACAGCTCAGAATCTTATATCCTGTTTCATATGCGATTGCTCATTGGTTGACACATAATAGAAACACACCTGATTGAAATGTTAACAAAAACAGCAGCAGGTGGATATTAGTATCCCTGACTGATCTACTATCTAATCAGGTTGAACAAAAATCTGGTTAAAAGCCTTAATAGACTTGAAGTCAGAATTACCAAAATTGGCCTCTTTGCTGTACTGAAACAGTAATCACAAAATCTAGGAGTGGTTCTCAGGATATACACAGGTATTATTAAGCTGATAAATTAAAAAGGAACAAATTTAATACACTTTAGAACTTGGTGTGTGTGCCTGGAACTCACAACAGTTCTCCCAAGTACTAGGGTTACAGATGAGCCATATCATATGTACATTCAGTACAGCAATGTTCACTTTCTGGAAAAACCTTCATAAGTCAGTATTTAACCAAAAGTTGAAGGAATACAGAAAGTGTTTGTCTGAACAGGATTCCCCATAACATGCTGCGTCCAACACAAGAGCTTATATGCAGGAAATTTATTTAGGAGTTTATATCCTGGAAACAGGAATTAGAGAACAGGGAAGGATTAAAAAAAAAAGGAGAAAAAAAGAAATGAGAGAAAAGCATGACCAGACAGCAGCAAGCTGGGCTAGTACCACAGGCTCACTGGATGATGCTGTGGTATCCTCTGACACAGTTGTCTCCCAGAACTTTTTGCAGTTGCCATTGTCCTTATCTGTCCTGTGTAACACAGTGGCAATGAGGTACAAGTGTTTACTGATCACTCAAAATGTAGATAGAACAGAAGAACTAAACATTTTTAATTCATCTAACTGAAAAGATTTTATTTTTACTTGTGTGTCTCTGTGTGTGGGTTTGTGCACATAAGGACATTAATGTCTATGGAGGCCAGAGAGGGCATGAGACCCAGTATGGGTGCTGGGGACTGATCTGGGATCCTCTGCAAGAACAGTAAGTGCTCGTACCCTCTGAGCCACAGCTCCGGTCCTGATTTAATCAAATTTTAGGTAATTTAAACACATTAACAGGTGGTAACATTACATGCTAACGCAAGTCTAAGAGTCTCACAGACTTCATCTCAGAGGCAGAAAGCAGGGTACAAAACATAGTGTACAGTAGTGTTCCTTCTGGAATTTGCCTATCTTGTTCACTCATATGCCCCAAGTTCCCAGAGGAGTGCTTAGAAGCAAATAAAGCTCCCATAAATATCTGCTAAACAAGTCAATATCATTTGGGTCTTTGAAAAGAGATTAGAAGAAGAAAGCCCACCACTTCACAGGTGATAAGGTGATGAATGGAAGGCTGAGATGGCTAAAATAGGTATGAGGGAAAGAAAGTAAAAGTCCCTGACAACGGAGCTCCCAAGGGCAGTTTCCAAAGGACAGCTAATGTTCTTTGCTGATGCTCATTCACAGTCTATTTCCAATCTAAGCAAGTAGGACCTGAAGTAACTCAGAATAAGCCTTTGTTTTTATTCTTTAGTTACTGTTACCACAAACATTAAATAACTGTTGCCAATACTGAAAGAAAGGAAGGAAGGAAGAAAGAAAGAAAGAAAGAAAGAAAGAAAGAAAGAAAGAAAGAAAAGAAAGAGCTACATTTTAAAGCACAGATTAACACTGAATACTCAGCTTAGATCTTTCAAGGGGTTTGAGCTCTAACTTAGATCTTCCAGCCATATACAGAGATATCTACATGTGTGTGTACAAAGCTATAAAGGTACAATACATCCCAGGCCTCAGTTTTAGGAAGACCTACAAATAGATAGGATGGTAACTTTGACTTTCTTGGTATTTTTTTTCCTTGCTGGTTCCTATATAGTTCTAGTATATATAATTCAATTATTCTGAATTTGAGAGTAAAAAGTTGGTCTCTACAAACTTCATGAATGCTTGTCAGCAAAGCGCTTTGAAACAGAAACCACATGTAAAACTAAAGGCAAGGTACATAAAAAACAACAGTCAAGGGACTCTGTTTTAAAACATGGCATGGAATTGACCTGAGGCTGGGTAAAACCCAACATCTTGAGCTTTGTCTCTGAAAGATGAATAACGTATCTGATCTAATTGTGAATTTCACTATTCTTACCTTACTCCAAGTTTTTCAAGACGAGACTCATCGAGAAAGGGCAGAAATGAACCAGTGATTTTATTTTCTGTGGAAGAGGAAAAAGCAAACTCAATTATTTACAGCGTATTTTCCAGTTTCTTTCAGTTTGAATCCAACAGAATTTACTCAGCTTGTATTTACTAAGAACCTATTACAGGCAGTGAACCTTATGGCCTACAGTAGCCTTCAGTACCTGCAGATTCTTTTTTTATGGTACTAATGGAAAATATTCAGAAAACCCTACACCTGTATTGAATATGTAAAGACTTCTGTCCATTATTGTAGATGACTTGTAAAAACATGGTACAACTATTTACATTATATGAGGCATTATAGTAATGGAGAAATGACTTAAAGTATACAGATATGGATGTATACAGGTTAGATACAAACACTATGTAATTTCATGGAATGGACTGAAGCATCAGATTTTTAGATACCTGCTTGGGTCTTGGATTCTCAGATACTGGGACATGAATACATCATACTTTAATTTGACTGGGAAGCAGTGGTGCATGCCTTTAATTCCAGCTCTCAGAAGACAGAGGCAGGTGGATTTCTGTGAGTTCAAGGCCAGCCTGGTCTATGAAGTGAGTTCCAGGACAGACAGAACTGTTATACAGAGAAACCTGTCTCAAAAAAACCAAATGTGTGTGTGTGTGTGTATTCTACAAAATACAAAAAATTTAAAAATAATTTAAAATATATAATATATATTTTAAAATTGTGTGTGTGTGTGGTGTGCACCAGTGCTGGAGCATGGCTAGGTTGGAGGTCAGCAATCACCAGCCATCCTCTTCCTGTCTACATCCTACCTTACTGATGGATTACTCAAGTTTACAGGAAACTCTCACTTTGTTATGTGGGTGCTGAGATCTGAACTCCAGTCCTCCAGTCCTCATGATTATAGGCAATCACTCTTAACCACTGAAGTATCTTTCATTCTCCCTTCCTATTTTATTTGGGTTTCTTGAGTCAGGGTCTCACTATGTAGCTCTAGCCATCCTGGAACTCAATATGTAGACCAGACTGGCCTCAGACTCATAAAACTCCACTTGCTCTGCCTCCCAAGTGCAGGGAGTAAACCACCATGCCCCCCCTTTTTTTTTTAAAATAATGACAGAGCTTGCCACATAGCTAGGTTGGTCTTATCTCTGAGATCCTCCAGAGTTCAAAATTAAAAAAAAAAATGTTCCTAAGGATTGATTCTAGGTCTTTGTACATACTAGATAAGTAGTTTACGACTGAGCTACATCCCCAGCCTGTAACATACTTTTGACATTCTAATTAAAGTTAAAACTCTTAATTAGGTCACTAACTTAAGAACTATTTTGATGAGTCAGATGAACATTTACAAATTATTCATGTAAATTATTTCTGGGAAAAGTAAAATGAAACCTAATTGCTTGTGAGGTGCTGCCAGGTCAGCAACTCCCTATGTAAGTCAGGGCTAGGGGCGGGGTTAGAGAAGGGCATTTAAACCGACTGTTCTTAGAATCATCAGATTAAAACCAGACTGAAGGGTACCCAGAGTTTTATTTCTAAAGCATCCTTTGAAAGCACACAATACTGTTAACATTTTGAGATAACATGTTTACATACAATTATGTAGTTTTACATATAAAAGATTGTCATATAGCCAATTTTTTCCATCCAATATTCTAAACACAGTTCTTTTAAATGATGAAAGTCTACATCTGTCTCTTACAAAAACAAAGATATATTTATTTTATTTTGTATGTATGAGTGTTTGGCTGGCATATACATATGTGGACCACACATGTGTGCTTGGTGTCAGTGAAGGACAGAAGAGGACACTGGATCCTCCAGAACTGGAGTCACAGATGGTTTTAAGCTACCACGTGGTGCTGAGACTCAAACCGGGGTCCTCTGCAGGAGCAACAAGTGCTCTAAACCACTGAGCCATCTCCCCAGCTCATCTATATCAATTTTTTTTTGTTTTTGTTTTTTACAAGACAGGGTTTCTCTGTATTGTTTTGGAGGCTGTCAGTCCAGCCCGGCCTGGAACTCACAGAGATCCACCTGCCTCTGCCTCCCAAGTGCTGGGATTAAAGGCGTGTGCCACTACTGCCCGGCTTCATCTATATCTTTCTTATTGGCTACTTTGTATTCTACGATATATACAAATTCTAATACATTTTATATGTGTGTGCACTTGTGTGGGGGTGCATTTACACACCTGTGCATGTACTTGTTGGAAGCTGGAGGTCAATGTCAGGTATATTCTTCAGTTACTCCTCTGCCTGGTATTTTTCTAGGATTTATTCATTTTTCACTTATGTGCATGTGTGCTTGTATCAGTTTATGTGTACAGTTCAGTAGAGTGCTCAGTTAGCAAACCTCAGGGAGCTACTTGTCTCTGCTTCCTCAGCTCTGGGGTTATAAGTGTGCACCATTAAACCCAACTACCATGTGAGTGCTACAATTCAGAACTCAGGCCTTAACGCCTGTGTGGTTGCTGACTGAGCCATCTCCCTGACCCCTGTTGTAGGAACATTTCATAAAATAAAATATTTACAGCATGGAGGTATGTGTGACTCAGTGGTAGAGTCTACACACAGGAGAAACAAATCCCTAGGTCTCATTTTCCATATTATATACTTACACACAAAAATTCTACCCCTCCCCCAAAAAGTTTGTAAAATGAATATAGCAGTACGTCATACAAAGAATATACTTAATAAATGTAGCCATCACTATTTACTATAAGTCAAAAGGCATTGCCAGTCCATAGTTGAGATAATGAACACTTTTATCAACTTTACTGAAATACATGTTTCATCTGCTAATAATCTCTTCTAATTATTTCATAAAACCCCAGTATTTTAAAATATTACTATTGAGATGGAACTGCTTTACTTAAATTTATTGGTAAGTTGCTAATGGTCTCTTGTTGTTCTTGTACTCATTTTTCTACAGGATAGATTTTTTCCCCCTTGCTTTTAGTTGATTTTCTAATTCTGGCTATGTTCTCCAAAGCCTTATTATGTAGCCCAGGATGGGCTAAAGACCTAAGACTGGGACCTGAAGTCTTGATTGTTTTGCCTCAGCCTCCCAAAAAGTAGGATTGCAGGGATATGTTCCCCAGTAATTTTTATTGGGAACACTGGTTAAGAAATAACTGGAATGAATTCTGGAATCCAAAGACCTAACCTCTAAAAAATCCAACTCCGCATCTTTTGTCTAGTGGTGTGACTTTGGAAAGCTACTTAACATTTACAACAGCCTTTAATACACCAGCTCCAGAGGGTTGGATGCCCTCTTCTGGCTTCTGTAGGCACTACCCTCTCATGTGATACATCTCCCATCTTCACCCCATTAAAAACATAATTAGAAATAAAGCCAGAAGAGATAGGTCAGAGGTTAGGAGCACTCACTGCTCTTGCAGAGGTCTCAGATTCAGCTCTCAGCACCCCCATGGCAGCTCACAACCATCTGTAACTTGAGTTCCAGAGGGAGCTACACCCTCTTCTGGCCTCAAGGGCACCAGGCACACACATGGTGAATATACACACATGCAGGCAAACCACTCACACATATAAAATTAAAATAAAATATTGCCAGGTGCGGTGGCGCACTACTTTAATCCTAGTACTCAGGAGGCAGAGACAGGTGGATCTCTGAGTTCGAGGTCATCATGGTCTACAAAGAGAGTACCCGGACAGCCAGAGCTACATAGAGGGACACTGTCTTAGTACTCTGCCCCCAAGTTACTTTCCTATAGAGGGTGAAGTGGGGAAGGGAAAAAGAGAAACCCGATAGTTTCTACATTTAAACCATCTTTAGCCGGGCGTTGGTGGCGCACGCCTTTAATCCCAGCACTCGGGAGGCAGAGGCAGGCGAATCTCTGTGAGTTCGAGACCAGCCTGGACTACCAAGCGAGTTCCAGGACAGCCTCCAAAGCCACAGAGAAACCCTGTCTCGAAAAACCAAAAAAAAAAAAAAAAAAAAACCCTCAGTAAACTATCTTTATGTCCTGAATTTTAAACTTCTCACTCCATCCTTCAAATAGGCAGGCATAGGAGGCTCTGCCCTCCAAGAAGTCAAGTTTACTGAATTTGCAAATCACAACCACCGAAGAGCCACGTTCCCAGAGAACACCTTAGAGGATCATGCAAGGGGTTAGGCTTCATACCTACCACAAACAGGTTGAACAGATTCCAAGGGTTTGACTGGTGCATGAGCAAGAGGCAGGAGAGTCACTTAAAATTCTCAGCCTGTACCCTCCCTCCCCTTTGCGTGGCCAAGTTGTGGAATGCTGGGTTTCATTGGTCAACTGAGCAAGTTGTGCTTATTATGGAAGAGAAATTGATCAGTCGCACCCTGCAAATACAGTCAGCACATACTGAGCCTTACTGGGATGCTATGGTAGTCAGTGAGAATCTGGAGATTTACCAACTTCTCTCCCCTTTAAGGAAAACCCCAAATTCCGGGAACGGCTTAAAAGAGAAACTTAAAAGCGCCAAAATCTCTCTTGGGGTCAAGTGTTTGAGGAGCTGCGGTTAGCACAGAAGGTTGTCCCCAGCCTGGTAAGCCTGAAAGACCGCAAGCCACTGCCGGAGGTCTGGAGGAAAATCTAAGAAGGGCGGGGATCTCTCTCGTCAAAAGAAGTGACAAGTTCCCGAAGGCATCCAACCACCACAAGATGCAAACCTCCCAGGGCCCCCGAAGCTCCCAGCGCCAGCACCTTCGCCTGCGCCCACCTCGGGTAGCCCGCCTGGACGGCTCGCGTCGGGGCGCCTCCCGCCTCAGGTCCGGGTTCCCGCCGCGAGCCGCTCCCCTCCCGGGCCTCCGCTCAGTGAGCCTCCCGCTTCGGATGCCTCTCGCGTGGGTTCTCCCCGCTCAGCCCGTTGGTCGCAATCCCTTGTCCCTCAGCCCCGTTACCTTTGAAGCTGTCCAGCACTTTCTTATCTCGGAAGCCGCATCCCTCTAAGTAGGAGCACACGTCCTCCACTTCCCAGGTCCGGAGGTCGGTGTGGAGGTCGGAGCCGGGAGACGCGTTTGCCGCTGCAGGAGGGGTTCTCTGAGGCGTTCTTGGGCTGCTATCGCAGCGAGGCCGCTTAGCGGACTGCTCGGAATCCGCTCTCTTCATGGCTACCTCTGACACTGTGTGCAGCGAACTTAAGTACCGCGGCACCCGGCTCGCGCGCAGTCGCACTGACGGCACAACCCTGGAGGCAAGTACTTGCAGCGGGGCCATGCGGGCCTACTGCGCAGGCGCGCTGGACATCAGCCCCGGGAGTTTGGCCTCCCTGGGGCACAAGCGCCCGGCTCATTGCGCAAGCTCAATGATATGCGTTCGCCCTCAACCCCGCCCCTGTGTTTCTCCGAAAGGGCGGAGTTATTAGAGAAGTAAAACTTAGGTCTGTGGTTAAGGAAGAGTGAAGGCTGTATGTAGTCCTGGCCAGGCTAAGAGGGCACCTGGGGCTAATGAAGCTTCCACCACACTCCAGATTAAAGGGTCTTCTGGTGGACTGCAGGTACCTTAATCTAAACAAGTACTTTTTGCTGGGTTTCAAACCCTCCAAGCTGTAAGCTTGTAAAAAGTACCTAAAAGACAAAGAAGCTGCCAGTACCATCGCAGTGCAGAAAACAAGGGACAAAGGACTGGCCTAACTGGATCCTGCAATGATTGCCAGCTCCTTGCCAGTCTGTCCTTTTGCATTTCACAAATTCACAGTTGGCCAAATTTACTTCCAAATAGACAGGATTTTTACTAATTACTAGTTAGTGCCCAAATGACAGGCATTTTCTTTTGCTTTAAGTCATTTTGGCTCAAAACTCAAACTTCCCCATAAACCCTAATCCAAACATTACTAGTAAAATGACCACTGCTAATTAAAAAAAAGTCAACACCTTTTCAGAAACCCGAGACACATCTACAGCTAGGTTAATTTAACACCAAGCAGTACGAGTTAGATACTTAGTAGTGAGTTCAACAGCTGCAGGTGACCGTGCTTAGGCATAAAATACAAGCTTGAGGCCCAGTGGGCAATCCCCAGCACCAAAACAAAGCAAACAGGAAATCTGATAAACTGAAGTATTCTTAGCAAACAACGCTGTTGTGTTCAGGGCACTTGTTCTAGAGACTTCACAAATACTGACACATTTAACAAATTTCAGATGTAAGAAAGTAGAGTAGAAAGATGGGGAGAAGAGTCAGAGAGGGGGAAGGAAGAGCCAAGAAATGACAGACAGCATGCTTCTAAAGTCCATGCTCTTAACAACTTGTTGGCCCAGAAAAACACGATCTGTCTTGTCAACAGAGTATTGGTAAAACATCCCACAGTTGTCAAGACTTACAGAACTGAAACAAGAGGGTAAAAGAGGTGCATTTTATGTCCATGACGGCTGATTTTGAGTGTGTGTGTGTGTGTGTGTGTGTGTGTGTGTGTAAACAGGATTTTTCTGTGTAGCCCTAGCTGTCCTAGAACTAGCTTTTGTAGACAAGGCTGGCCTTGAACTCGGAGATCTGCCTGCCTCTGCTTCCCGAGTGCTGGAACTAAAAACACCATCACCACCTGGCTTTGATTGGTGCTTCTAAGATTTGTGGGAAAGGCTTTTCTCATAGCAATTAGCAATAAAAGGTGATACGAACAGGGTTTTAAGTTTAATCGATTAGATTTGTGTGTTCAGCTTGGCCTAGCAAGATGGCTTAATGGCTAGAGGCTCTTGCTGTGCAACTGTAGCAATCTCAGTTTGGGTCTAAGACCCTACAGAAAGGTGGAAGAAGAGAGCGAAATTGTCTTCTGACCTCCATGTATATGCTGTAGAAGCCAACACACACACACAAGCACACACACGCGCACACACACACACTTTTTTCCATTTTAAAAATTAATTTAACACATACAAATTTTTAAAATGCATTATTTCCCCCCATTCTCTCATTTCTAGTTACTGGCTCAAGGTCACATGCAGATAATAGAGTCGGGAGTCTGTTGATACAGGATTTCCTCTCTAAAACTGACTCTTTCCAGTGTCACTTGGTCAACTCTAGTTCTGGTGACCTGATCCCCCTCTTTCCACACCCTGGGAAGCAGCAGCTATCAGAGAGGAGTCCTGCCCACACTGAGAGGACTTCGTCTTCTGAAGTCAATCTTGCCATGGGTAGGCAATAGCATCAACTGTTTTAAGGCCCATGCCTTTCCCATTCCACAAAATTTGTCCTGGACCTTTGATTGTCACATATCCAAATTGTGAAATTTGGTCCTGAATAGATCAGGCTTGTGATTTCTACATCTCTCCACAGCGAACCATTATCACTCTGATTCACGGTTTCACTTCCTCTTCAGCCTTCACTAAACAGTGCTTCCTGGAGATATTTTTTTCCATCTATGCAAATTTCAAAGCTAAACACAAATTCATTCTTTCTTTCTCTTCCTTCCTTCCTTCCTTTCTTTCTTCCTTTTCTTCTCGAGACAAGGTTTCTCTGGGTAGCCCTGGCTGTCCTACAACTCGCTCTGTGGATCAAGCTGGTTTTAAACTCAGAGATCGCTTGCCTCTGCCAGCCTAGTGCTGGAATTAAAGGTGTGTGCCATTGCCATCTGGCTCCACATTCTTTAAGAAAACCTTTTTTTTTTTTTTTTTTTTTTTTTTGCATCCTAGCACTTAAGGAGGCAGGGGTAGGAAGACCTTGAGTTCAGGATAGCCTGGTTGATATGGTAAGTCTCTGTCTCAAGAGCAGCCACATAGAGCTGAGGACATGGCTTGTCGGATAAGAATGCTTGCTGAGCAGGGGGAGGACCTTCATGGGTGGGCCTTGGCACATGTGTAGCTCTAGTGTTGGGGGAAGGGCAGGGAGGTGAAGATAGATGATTGCTGGAGCTTGCTGGCTGCCAGTCACCTTCAAGTTCAGAAAGAGACCATGTCTTCTAGGTGTAGTGGTGCACATCTTTAATTCTGGCACAAAGGAGGCAGAGCAGGGGGATCTCTGTGAGCCCAAGGCCAACCTAGTATACACAGAAAGTACCAGGCTAGTCAGAGCCACATAGTGAGACCTGAGAGAGGCAGAGAGAGAGAACAGAATTCTACATGTGGTTCCGTGTGCACAAGGGCATGTACACCTGCACACACATGTACATATATGAAACACTCACAAATAGTATTTGGCTAAAGCTGGGGTGTATATCAGTGGTTAGAACACCTATCATTTATGATGCCCTCAGAGACACACACACACACACACACACACACACACACACACACAGGCACACTCACTCAGATAATAGCTGAGGCAGACATTTCATTTTTGCCTTAATGCATATTATTTTAATCTCATAATAGTTTCCTTGACTGGTTATTCTAGAGTTAAGTTTATGTGGTTATTAACACATTTCACCCATCTAATATGAGTGTTTACTGGCTACTTAGAACTCACTTAGCATTACTCTAGACTACTAGGACACACCAACAAACTGTACAGAAAAAAATCCCTTTAATCCCAGCACTTGGGAGGCAGAGGCAGGCAGGTCTCTGTGAGTCTGAGGTCAGCTTGGTCTACAGAGAGAGTTTCAGGACAAGTTCCAAAGCTATACAGAGAAACCGTGCCATGTCTCAAAAAACTAAAAAACAAAACAAAACAAAAATTACAGATCAAATTAAGAGATCAGGAGTGGAAAAATTGTTGGGTAAGATAGTCCATACAGATCTTTGGGAATGGTGACATTTGAGCAGAGATGAAGGAGTTCTCCATGTGGTATAGAGACATTTCACAGAGAGGAAGCAAGTCTCCTTAAACAGAAGCAAGTTGAGTTGAGTTCAAGGAAGGAACAAAGCATGAGGGATTATGCAGAATGTAGGCATGAGGGCCAGGGAGAACTCTGATCCTAATTGAAGATCTTGAGAGAATGACTTCAACAAGATGGATGACCTCTATTCCTGGACTAACAACCACTGTGGACATTATAAAATAATTGACTCAGTCAGGTAACCCTTAACTCCTTTAGAAAAAAGGCAAGATCTCATCCTAGTAGGAAAAGAACTTATTCTGGACAAAGACCCCAGATGCTATTATATCCATGTAACACATACAGAAATTAAGTGCAGAGATGAAATGACTTACTTATCCATTGTTGCACACATACAACTTGCACCTAACTAGCTTTGAAATTCTTATTCTACAACTTAAGCTGAGTAATATCGCTATTGCTTTTAAGATGTTTCATGGCCAAACTGCTCAGAGCCTGGAGTGGTGCCTCACGCCTTTAATCCCAGCACTTAGGATGCAGAGGCAGGCACATCTATATGAGTTTGAGTCCAGCCTGGTCTACAAAACAAGTTCCAGGACAGCTAAAACAAAACAAAAAGCTAAAAATCTCATTGTTAGGAGTTACTCATACCTCACATTTTAAACCTTGTATGGGTTTTCTAAGTTCTAGTGGTAGTCACATCAGTTTGTCTTTTTGCCAGCATGGATTTGCTTGGTAGTATGAGCAACAACAGAAAGGAAACTTGTCATTGCTACAATTAGCTAGTCTAAAGTCACCATCAGAGCCTCTGGAGGAAGTTACACTCTGTGCCTGGTCAACTGTTGTCTACTTTTAGACTACTATAGTGTTGCCTTTCCTAGATTGTAATATAAATGTTATGTGTATGCATAATGTAGCCCTTGGCACTTGAGTTCTTTCACTTGGTGCATAATTTGAGATTTAACTATAGTGTATGCATACTACAGCCTTACTATGTACACATACTTCAAACACATCCAGAATCTGCATATGAGAGAAAACAAGCAGTAAATCTTGTTCAGCTTTACACCCCCTTCTCTATTTCCACCTGTTTCCCTGCAAATGACATCATCTCTTTCTTCTTATCTAAGCATAGCTCTTACTGTAAAAGAAAGATCTTGTATCTCAGTGTGTATGACCACACCCTGAAACGAAGATTCAGACTGCCCCAAATACTGTGTGCCAACATGGCAAGAGTTTGGCAAAGTTTTTATTTTAACAAAACAAAGAGAATTATAAATAAGCAAGTTAAATGCATTAGTGGAAAGCCCAGGTAGGCAGGTTAGATGATGAGAAATAGTTGCTGTAGCCTCAGATGCTATGTGATGACCTTAGCTTTTGGTTTGGGGGAAGTATCCAAAAGATACTAGGACATACACAAAGGTGGGCAATAAATTTAGGGGGCTGAGATAGCAAGAGATAATTTGACAGTGGACCTGTATTATTTCAACTCAGCCACATAGAATGTTTAACAA